ATCCAATAAAATAAAAAATTCTATCCTGCATGAATTGGCTCAAGTCGTATTAGCAACTCTATGTAAACAGTTAAGTGTTAAACGTTACTTTTCGACACTCAAATTTATATTAACACTATAAAGAACCAATATAAATGATCTTTAAGAAAATATATTATTACTTTGATGTAATAATTGACTCATTTATGATTAAATAAAGATTAAAATCGTTAGTAATAAAATTAAGTGCGTATTAAATAAATACTTAATAACTCTCACCCGATCATAAACTGACCTGGATGGAATGTCTCCTACTCCTGACATACTACCCATAAATGAAGCCGCAACTTCATAAGTTTAGAGTTTTATAGTTTTCAACAAATCTGCAGATTTTTTTTATTTCAGGGTTTAAAACCCAATTGTCGACAAATTGGTTTAACCGTTATTATTTAACAAATCTGAAAAGCTAAAAAAAATTGTCAACCAAACCTCTAAGAAGGGTAAACCTTTTCCAGCTTTTTGATATTTTAAATCTCTTTTAAAAAGTGGATAAGTAATTTATTTTTATTTGTATATTGATATTTATAAATACCAGCAAACAGTTACGTATACACAGCTATAAAATTTATACCTAGTTGACAGAATAGAATCTCGAAAATATCTTAATTGTATAAGGCTCACTATAATTCTTTAGAGAAGAGTGATTAAATTTTAAAAAAATTTGTTTTTTTTTCTCTACATAAAGCTTGTTTGCTAAAGGTTCGAACCGGTTTTAAAAGGTTCAATTGATTGTATTATTATTTATTGAGCCTAACCTCCCATTTTTATCTAAACCGAAACGATATTCCTTACTGTTTTGATCTCAGATTTACTTGGCTTAAAATTTTAAACAAAAAATATTTGAAGATCAACAAATTATAAGATTATTTTGCAAAATAAATTTTAATTTTGGTCAAAAATTTTATTTCTTGCTAAAACAAATAAATCTTATATAATAAAAGCGCCAAAACCCTAGACATTAATAGACATATATAATATTAATAATGAATAAATTAATGCAATAGCAAATCAGCATTTCGCAAGGAATGCTATTAAATTTGCCCCCATAATTCCATCATTTGGAGCTTTTATGTGAAATAATTATATATGTCAATTTGCTAATTTACTATTAAATTCTACACCTATTTTCTATTTATTTATTAATTAATAATGCGCCATCAATTAAACTTAGCGCTTTGGGCAATTTTAGGCTAAATAGCTATATGCTAATTTGATTATATTTATGATGACTTGATAAATATTCCCATTTAATATCAAGTTTTTGTCATTTGGCATTTTATGTTACTTTTTGCCACTTTTAGGCTATATATGCTAATTTTCAATTACCTAATATATTATTAAATTTGCTCAATCGCATTTACATTTGCTAAATTATGTAAATTTAATACAGGGCTATAATGGGGGGCACAGAGGGGGGGCAGGCCCTTCCAAAAAAAATTTTGACCCTCAAACCTGGCTTTTTGAAAAATAATTGGCTGCACAGAGTTTTTTTTAAAATACCCGAGATGGGCCGTATATTTAAACCAAATATTATAAATCGCCATTATTAGCTATAAAAATTAAAAATAAATAGAATATATTATAGACGGGCCGAAAAAATATATGAAAAAATTATCTGGGCCGGGCAATACAAATGTTATACTCTGCAGGTCTCTGATAGCAATCATTAATTTGTAATGAATTAAATAGTAATTATAATAAGCCAAGCATATGATCTGAAAACGTTGTCTGGCCGAAATGGAGGAGTATAAATCTTGCTTCAAAAAAAATTAATAAAAAAGTGTCTTTATTAAATTGCTACAACCACAAGTTGCATCTTTTAGTTAAAAATTTGTAATTTATATAATGCATTTTGTAATTTATATAATGCATTTTGTAATTATGTTAAGCGTTTTAACATATCCTATATAGGCCATATACTCTTAAAAGACTTTTATACCAGAGGTGGAGTTCATTTAGAAACATCTCGTATCATTTATAAGAATTTTGAGGATATTGGTAAAGTATTATTTTACTTTTTTAATAGAACTCTTAACTCAAAGGTTCTCACTCTATTCGGCATAAGCCTCTGGTCTTTTATCTCAATGCATTAATATAAATTACATTATATTGGTCATTTTAATTTATGAGGTATTAATAACAATAGATCCATCAAATAATTATCTACAGTCAGTATGTAATAATATAGTGGATGCTAAAGATTGTATTGAAAAATAAAAGAAGTGATAATTCTTTTGATTTGAAAAGAATTAAAACTGAGAAACTTGTATCAAAATTTAATCTCATTCTCATCCCTCAAAAATTATCAAGGATACGTAAAACGAAACGCCTACAAATCTTTAAGATTTTTTAGTCAATACCAAATTGCAATTTGATTGTGAAAAGGACTTCAATTGGAGTTCTTTAAAAAAATATTATAAAATTATGGATTACTTCTGATTCAAATAAAAATGACCAATGAAATTTAATTTTTTCAAACTAAAATTAGCTATTGCTATTTCTCAACCGGCTAAGAATTACCCAATTTAAAACGCCTAATTGCTGGAAAAATTAGCAAATGTTTTTCACCTAATAAAAAATAAGTGATAATTAGCTTTCATCTGCGAAAAGATACGATCAAGCTACTACACCCATTTTTTAAACCCAAAATATCATTCAAATTTAACAAATAAATGTAACGGCAATGGAACAGGTCTTATGCAACACTGACATTTTATCTATCTTGGTAGATTTTCAAGCAAGATCAGAGCCATTTACTAAAATTATGTTTTCGGATAATATAGAAAATAAAGTAGACCCAATTGAATTATGGGCGGTATAAGGAAATTTGATAAATTCTAAAATTAATAAAACAACTATTTACTGCATCTTCATCATAGACTTCAATCGAGAGAGCTCATTAATTAGAATATTAATGTCACGGAGTTATAAAAAAAAGTTCCCTTGTTATAACAGGTTTAATTGTTATCTTTCTTTTTTCCTTAAAAATGGCTACACAGTTTCGAGATTGCCCATGTTTATTCCACAATTGGGAAAATATTTGAGTTGGGACACAATTTTACAAAGTCTAGACTTTGTATCCTTAATTTTTTTTATTGGTGTAAAAAAATGTTTCATATTGGGGTCAGGACAGGTTAAATCATCTTCATCTGAAGAAATGTACAATTGACATAATATTCATTATAAAATAAATTATAATATTAGCGAATAAGAATATAAATTAACATATCTTGATTAATTCAATATTAATTAGATAAAATCTTGACTGAAAATTTAACAAAGAAAATTTAAAAGAAAAATGAAGAAATTTGGTTGATCTGACTCAAAACTCGGCTATAAATAAATATTAATAATATGTTTTTTCCATATTTTAAGAAAAATTTAAAGTATCGAATAACGTTTTGCGTTACCGTTATTCAAAAATAAAGAAACGCGCTACGCTTTACACGTTACCTCTAGAAAAAGGTAACAAATGGAGTTCCCTTTCTTTAAGAAAGATAACGCCGTAAGTAACGACGTTACTTTTTAACGTTACTTTACAGCACTACTATTATGCATAATTTTATAACAAGATTTTAAAAAATGATTTTTTTTAATTAAAAGAATTTTAGAGAATCAAATTTGTATATTGGATAAAAAAAAATTTTTTTTTTCTCTTTAGCTTTCACCTTTTCTGGTGGTAAGCTCCTTCAACATCTCTCTCCACTTTATGTTATTCATACAATCTCTTTTATCTAATTTATACTTCTTTATATTGGCTCTAACTTTATGGCCCCATTGAAGTTTTGGCCTTCCTCTTTTACGTTTGCCCATCACTTCCAAACTCTCAACCTTCCATCTCATTGTGTGCCCATACCACCTAAGTCTGTTTACTATTAACTTAGTCATTGGGCACTACCTTTAAACTACTTAGTATTCTTGTACTGCGCACTTTATCCTTTCTTGTTACCCCAGCAATCATCCTCAGCATTCTCATCTCCATAGTTTGTAGACTTCTCTCGTCTGATTCTTTGGTTGGCCATGTTTCCGAACTATATAGAATAGTTGGTTGTACTATGGAACTGTAAATTTTTCCCTTTAATTTGTGTGGGATTCTTTTGTCAAATAGCACTCCAGATAAAGATCTCCACTTTAACCACCCTTGATTAATCTTACTCTTTATCTCTTTTTCTATTGTGCCGTTTGTTTGTATAGTGGAACCCAGATATTTGCAGCTTTCAATTGCCGATATCTGCCATTCATTTATATCAATACTCTCTGTTTCATCTCCTCCTATCACCATATACTCCATTTTCTCTATTTACTTTTAGTCCGTGCTTTTCTAGGATATTTATCCAACTCACTAATCTTTCTTTCATTTCATCCTTGGATTCGGCAAGTATCACAATATCATCTGCAAATATCATATTCCACGGGACTGTTTGAGGTATAGACTGTGCTGATACATCAATTACTGTAATGAAGAAAAGTGGGCTGAGAGCCGACCCTTGATGAACTCCTTCGGCTATTGTGAAGCCTGCTGAAGTACCTGTTGTGCTACGGACCATTGTTGTATGGCCCATATATATATCCTGTATTATTCTTATATATTTTTCGGGAACCTTTTTGTGTCGTAGCGCTCACCAGATAAGTTTTCTTAGGATTCCATCGAAGGCCTTTTCTAGATTGAGAAAGACCATGAGTAGCTTTTTGTTCTTTTCCCTGTATTTTTCACTCATTTACCTAATTGTGTGGATAGCATCGGTTGTTGATCTTCCAGACATAAAGCCAAACTGAGTCTCTTTTATTTCGATTATATCTCTTAATCTTTGTTCTATTATTTTTTCGTATAGTTTTAGACAGTGTGACATTAGTTTTATGCCCCTGTAATTTTGACAATTGTGTGGATCCCCTTTATTTTTGAAGATAGGAACTAGATAGCTCTGCCTCCATTTATGGGGAACCTCTTCATTTCCAAGTATTTAATTGTACAAATTTGTGAGGAGATTTATTCCATCATCTCCTAGTACTTTAAGGCTTTCTATTTGAATATCGTCTGGACCCATAGCTTTGTTGTTTTTCATATGCTTGAGGCATGTGATTATTTCTTGTTCTGTTATAGTTGCACAAGGTTTTGACATGGGGAGTGTTCGTCTAGATATAGTATGTGGGAATTAAAGTTGAGAAGCAACTGAAAATATTCTTTCCCTCTATTCATTATTCTTTTTCCTTTATTATCAAATTCCCATCTTTATTTTTGATTACTTTCGGAGCTCCGTTTATATCCCTAGAGTTCTTTTCTCGCTGTTTGGCTAATCTGTATATTTTATTTTGCCCTTCTTTGGTATGTAGTTCTTCATACATGTCATCGTATGCCATAGATTTGGCCCTAGCCACCGTTGTAGCTATTCTCTTGGATTTCTTGTAATTTGTCTTGTTATCTGAGTTTTTGGATTTGAACCATAATTTATATAGGGCTTTTTTCTCCTTTATAGTGGTTTGTACCTCTTCATTCCACCACCATAGTTCTTTGTATGATTTGTTGCCTACCCTTGTCAGGCCTAGTGTCGATTTGGCAGTGTCTATTCTGGATGAAAGGTCTGTCCACATTTTTTCACTGACTTGTGAGGAATCTATTGTTTCAATGTTTGCATTGATTGTAAAGGCATCTGTCATTGTTTTTAATTTGCCCCATTTGATGCATGGTTCCAGTTATTTTGTTTTGAGTGGATTTATTTGAGATGTGTAAATCCATGACTAGTAGCTTGTGTTGTGCGGCGATATCTTCTCCTGGGATGACTTTGCAGTCTATTACATCTTTTAATCTTCTGCGAGAGATTAGCAATCTATCTGTGTTTTCCTTTTACCACTTTCGTATGTTATTAAATGACTGTCTTTTTTCCTATAGTAGGTGTTGGTTAAGGCAAAGTCGAAAACTTGCGCAAATTTCAGTACGTGCTCTCCTTCATCATTTCTTTCTCCATATCCAAAACCACCATGATGCCTTTTGTAGCTATCTCTTGCTTTCCCCACATGCGCATTTAAGTCACCACCAATTATGACTAGGTCATCCTTAGGGATTTCCATTACAGCTTCATTAAGGATAGCTCTAAAGTCATCTTTCTCTTCTTCCTTGCAACCCGTTTGAGGGGCATATACTGAAAGGATGTTTATATTGATTACCAATGCAGAGTTTTATCTTCATTAGTCTATCAGAGATCCTGTTGACTTCTACTACTGAGGAGGTTAGATCTTGATTGGAGATGATGCCGACACCGTTCCTATTGCTAACAATTCCAATATAGTACAATTTATACCTATCTCCAATCATCAAAGTCTTCTGTCCTTTCCATTTCGTCTCTTGTATGCACGCTATATCAACTTTTCTCTTGTTCAACATTGATGCCAATTCTCTCGTCCTTTAAGCGTCCCAATATTCAAACTTGCTAATCTTGTCTTCTTTGCTTTGACCTTTACTTTACTATTTACATTTGTTTCCTTCATTTTGTTTATTGGACAGGTATTCTTAGCATCAGGCTGTCCAGGCCTGTCGGTGACTGGGGTGTCATCTCTAAGCTCCGAAATTCATCATACCCTATGTCTTTACACACATCGAAGAAAAACTTGAAAGTTTTTATGCTCCTTACCAGGATTGAACCTGCGTCCTTCTTCGTCCTTCTGTTACTAAGCATACATCTAACCCATTAGGCCACCCCGGCGATATATTGGATAAAAAAATAAACGTTGTTAAATGCATTTATTTTGCTCTTTTTCACCGTTTTTTTTAACTTTTCATTTAAAAGTTTATGGTTCAGATATAATATTTTAATCCCCTCTATAAATAAAAAATTCTTTAAGGAGGGAGGGGAGGTTAATGCCCGGTTAAATCCCCCCTTTAAATAAGCCATGGATATTTAATCATTTATAGAATAATAAACACAACCGCAAGTCTGTACAATCTAAATCCCCAAATATATTTATGAATATTCAATTTCTATTTTTAAAATAACAAAAAATACCCCGTTAGAAACTTCCGATAGTGTTAAGTCATATTCGATTTTCTTCGGTCCACCTAAATCCTGTTTGAATCGGTTTTTGATCAAAATTAATTTTTATTTAAATTTTATTTTAAACATCAGCGGTTTTTAATTCCGCCTCCTCGCAAAGTAAATCCTACAACCTCTACGCCTTGGACTCAATAGGCTAAATTTTCAAATAAAATGGGTTCATTTTATTAACCTTTTCCTAAAAGTTTAAAATACAATAAAACCTCTAAAATTTGGGCACAGTTAGAACCAAGAATATTTCCCAATTATTTCCCAACTTAGACAATTGATTAATTCGTCAATTTTTAGTTTTCGCTATCCATTTTTCTCATGGAGCTTTTCGATCAAAAAAAAATGTTGCTCTCAAATTTCCCAAATTTTGTAAGAGAGACGGAATAAATGCCACGACAAATATATGATTTACAACAAGAAAAACTATGTTGAGAATAGTAACTTAAAGAAATTCAATGATTATATAACAACTAGCTAAGTATTAGCAGATTAGTTATTCTTACCCTCAATAGGGTTAAAAATTGAAAACAAAACGTATATACCATAGTACATAATATTATAAACATTTTAATTTTTGTATATACATTTTACTTAATGAACCTTTTTAAGGCAAAAAGCAATATAATAATATTGTTGAAAGAAAAAATTAAACTTAAAGTGAACTTTTTTAAGTCCATGTAAAGGAAAATATTGTTGAATGTTGATGAATAAATTGAACCTTGCTTTGGTGGTAAATATTTTTTTTTTAAAAAAAAGAAGTTTATATACATATTCTTAATTTCATGGTAGTATTATTTGATAGTGTGTTGATCAAGAAAATACTTTTTATACAAATTAATTTGGCATTCCTAATTTAATAATTTTGTATAACCTGTCTTTATTTATTAAATTCATAAGTTAGAGCTTTGAATTATTTTTAATGAATATTTTAATTTCCCTAAATGAAACACATTTAAACAAATATATTTTTTTGTTTTCATGTAGGGTTGACAATGTCACGATATGGCTGAGCTTATGCCTAAATAAAGCAAATTGGAAAAAACACTTTTTTATTCTCACACCACACCTTAAAGAAAAAAAGAAAGATTTTAATAAAAATTGTAGTATTTGTTTATATTCCAACCAACTAATCAATTCATTGTATCTATAATTCAGAAATGATATGCAAAGAGAAGGGAAATAAGATGTTTACCACTCCCTAAAATTAATATAATCACCCTTAGAAAGTTTTTTTTATTTTTAAGCGCTTCAAAGATTATTTAAAAAATTGCTTACACGCATTATTATATTTTGTAATTTCGTAAAAAATTATATAAAAGCTGTGGAAAAGGTTTTTTAAAATATATTTTTGGGTATAGTGTTAATAGTTGTTTCAGCAACTTATTAAATTCATTCAAATTTTTCGAATAAATCTAGAGGTTCTCAAAAATAAATAAAAATTTAAGGGTGCATTCATTCTAAAGTGTCAGAAAAATAACTAGTGTGCACTAAGACTTGATAGTTATAGAATTACAACTCCTCTACTAAAAATTATTTACCTGTGGGCCAGGGCTTATTAAATTATCCTTATGAAACCTCAGCTAAAAAAGTAGATTATGAAAATAAAATTATGTTTATGTATAACTTAAGTGATCTGCATCGGGCCTAATTTTTCAAGCCCTGCCAGGTCCGAAATTTTTTTAAAAAAGCTTTGCCCGCCCGAATCCGAATTTTTTTTTTAAATTTACCCGCCCGGCCCGACCCGAATTTATTTAAATATAGAATTTAATTTTTATAATTACTCAAAATAAAAGACATATGTTATATGTCGTTTAGTTTCAATAAATCAAAATCAAATATTTTTATTTTACATAAAAAATTCAATATAAAATTGATAAATTTAGATATATTTTAAAAAAATTCCAAAGTACGACCCGACCCGGCCAGAATTTTTTTAAAAAAAATTAGGCCCGACCCGGTTCGAACCCGATGTTTTAAATAGAATTAGCCGGACTCGGGTTATTGCAGATCTCTATAACTAACATAGACCTTCATGAGCCTTAATTTTTTGATCCAGCCCGATCCAGGCCTGCAGTAAAAAATATTTCAGGCCCAGGCCCGATCCTTATCTAATATTTAAAAAAATTCCCAAGCCCATATATAAAATTTTAATTGCATTTAATAAAAAATAAACAATATTTAAGTGTATTTAGGCAATCATTTTGTTTACAATACTGTAATTTATTATTATTAGAAGAAAAAATTGCAGAATTTCTTTAAGTTAGTAAATGTTTTAGATAAGCCAAATCTAAATTTAAAAAATTTTGTCACCCAGTCCAAGCCCATTGAAAAGTTTTCAAAGTCCAGGCTTGGCACAAGTCCGCTAAGAAATATTATATTAGGCTCATACTCCGGGCCCGGGCCTATATGTCTGTGGGTCGTGGACCGGCCCGGCCCATGAAGGTTTCTGCTAATAGCAAATCTTTTATATAGAGAAATATTGGGAATATATTATTAAAGTGTAAACAATAGAGCACATAACACATATTGTTCAAATATTGTTATATTATTTTTAAAATGTTTTTACTGTTCCTAACACGAACGCGAGTTGTAAAATTAGACTCTGACCCGATCCGAATAGTTCGATGGGTCCAAATATTAAAAATTTCCAATTACTCCATTTTGAGGAGCCAAGTTAAAGGTATTTGGCCTTATCCCATATATATAAAGATATTTATATTTATCTATTTATTAAAAAGGCTCATATTTTTGTGTACTAGAATTCTTATCAACAAAATATCATTTTTTACATTTTATATTTATTTATTTTTTTACATTTTATATTTTTAGGCAAAAAAAGTTTAGAAAAAATTTAATTAAATTTTTTAATTTCATAAAGAAAAGAATCATATTAAATTTGGGAATAATGAAAAATATAAAAATAGTTTATCTTCTTTATGTTTTGAAATCAATTTTATTGATATATGGACAGAAAAAGGAAAAAATAATCCCTGAATATCCTGTAATTGTAATAGGTGCGGGAATGGCGGGTATTAAAGCAGCAAGAATATTAGAAAACGCAGGCCTGAATGTCACGATATTAGAGGGAAGACACGATAGATACGGTGGTAGAATTTGGACAAACTATGAAGCTATGAATGGCTCAACGGGTAAAAAAATTTTTTGTTCTTTATTAATTTTTACAAAAAAACTGTAATATCATTTCAATTATATATCAAATTTCATTTAATCAAAAATTTTATATTATAATAAGCTAAGCGAAAAAGTACTCCCACACCCTCCCCTCCCCACTATTGTTGATGATTTCCTGATTATATAAAGTACATTATATAAAATAATGATTTATTCATAACTTAAAAATTATTATATAATTTTACAAACGAGATCTATCTGAGACCCCTCACTTCAAGAATAATTCTTCAGAGTTTGAAAAAAATCTCAATAAAATTTTGAGCAAAGTATTTTATTTTTGAAGAAGAGATAATTTTTGATCAAATTTTACCTAAAAATGTCAAAATCATTTATAAGTAAATCTATTGTAATTTTCATGCATAAAAAATCTTAGGATTCTGAAATTTAAATAAATTCCTATAAATTTCTTGCAGATTGTAAAATATATTATAAAATTTCATTCTAGCTCATTTTCTTTATCCGAAGCGAAGCGTATGGAGTTTTAAGAATATACAATTATGGATTATTTTTGCTTATATTCTTTTTTCATATGCCCTGCTAAACATAATTTAGATTAATTAATTAATACATTTTAAGTGTTTCTATAATTATTGTTTTAGCGCATCGCCAATTTTTTTTATTTTATCTTTTTAAATAACATTTTATTTTTGATTTAGGCTACTAAACCTATACAATCTCTACTGTCAAATTATTAAACTTTAAGGCTTCCGATCGTTCGGTTAACTTCAGGACATTTATAAAAATTATATCCAATAATGTTTTATATTAAATAATAGCCGTGATTTAATGTCCCCGGATGCCCACTGCATCCTTCAAACTATGCACTTTTCTCGGGTTCAATAATCAAAATTTATTGTCTGATTGAGCAAAATCTACTAAGCGTAAAATAAATTCTTAGATTATTCTACTTATTATTATTATTTATATGAGTTACATATTGTACACATTTTTTTTAGTGCGAGGGTGGATGGAACGTAGGCAATAATTTATATTAAAATAATATTTACAAAAATTTTTGAAAGCGGGAAAAACATCCCCACGCTCCCCGCCCTTAACAACGCTTTTGTAGGATGTCAATTTTTAAAAAATCAAATAAAATATCTTTGTGCATAATTATGAATGTCATTATTATCAATATAAAAAGGGCAATGATTATTAATAGAATATGTCAAAATTCTTATACCTTTCGATGCGAAGATTTTATTAAGAATAATTTTTGGAATTTAACCACTAAATCGGAAATTTTTTTTAAAGAAATGATACATATTTTATTATTTATCAAAATATAAGTTTATGCTTTTATTTCTGTACGAATTGATATTATAGAGGATTGTTAATGAAACAAACCATTAATTATATAAATTAGGAGCCGAAGTTGATATGGGTGCCTCATGGATATGCGATGATGGTATTAAAAATACGGGAATGAAGTTATCCTTAGCCCAAAAAATTCCTACCGTTTTTAGCGATTTTCTAAATCCAATATTATATCACGGGAATGATTCTCGTGTTCATGACGACGATTGGAAAAATATTTATAAAGATTATCGAAGAGTGAGAATTTAATTTTAATTAACCAATTAATTTAGACTAATTTGAATTTTTGATTTATTTATTTTCGACCTTGAGTTCATTCATTACCTGGTTGTTTATTTATCTTGTGTGCCTCTGCGAGTCTCATTTCTTAGATGGGTGAACGATTGGGTGGGTTTAATAGCTCACCATTGTAGTTTTATTTGAGGTCTGCAATGGATGGGTTTAAAAATTTAAAACATTGAGCCACGGGTTAAAAATATTTTTAAAAGAATGGGAGCCGGTCTTGTTTAAATATAGTCTTTTGGGTCTGCCAAGTTGGGGCGAGTTGATTAAGATTATAGTGGGCATGAGTATTTATGATATGTGTTGTTTACATCAATATAATCTGACCAGTGAATGCGAAGATGTTTTTCTAAAAATATGCATGGAATTTGGGGGGATTATTTTTTAAAGCTGGTATACCATTTTAAATTTCAATTTTTTTTATACTCTTACAAGTTACAATTATTTGGGAAAACTTGTTTAAAAGCATAAAGGATCGATCAAATTTTTAAACCATTATCCGTACAGAAATTATACTGAGTTGGTTTTATGTTTCTTAAGCTTCTTGGGTTAATGATGCTTACTACCAATTGAATGTAAGGAAATATTCTAAATACCAACCTAATTTGCTAAATACCGACAAAAATTTATTAAAATGTAATAAGACCCTTATTATTTAATATATTAATACGGAATCACGTGGTCGAGTCCCTCCTATATATTATACCCCCAAGGATGGAACCACCAAGTTAAATTAAAAAAACATGACCATTCCCGGAATTTGAACCCGGGACTATGGGATCAGTAAGCCAAGCTCTTGCCTACTAGGCCATAGAGACTTTCCAAAAATCACGATTTTTCAAATATATATTATAAATATATTTGGTAGTGCCTGTCCAAATGAAAAATGAACAAAATTCAAATTTGATAGAGTACCTTAAGGTAGTAAGCATCATTAACCGCCTGTCTCACCAGCCATGGCTGTTTAAGGTTTTACTAAAGTAATATAAATCAAACATTAAATTACTTTCATTTTTGACGTTTCGATGGTTCGTCCTTTATTGATTAATTTCTAAATGCAGCTTTAATGATATATTCGCTATAATACAAGATGGTGTAGCATCAGTAGCAGATGCATGGAAGACTTAAATATTTGTGACTAATAATTAGTTGATCCCTTGACCCCCAAAATTTTGACAATTATAGAAATCATTACTTGTATTAATACTTAATATTTATTCCTTTCTGCTAACAAGATATTATGTATAAAAAAGGGAACCCACCCCCAAAGTCTGTGCATAATAGATATTATGAATACACCTTCTTTTGGAATGGAAATAATAAATAATCATATTAATATTATAAATAAATTGGTAGTCCCTATCATTTATAAATCAAATAACTAAATTACCCCCCTCAAAAATTCTACCACCACCTACTTTTCTCAAATATTTTGTTCCATATCCCTCCCCCCTTTAATTTTTACCCACCTACTTCCACCCCCCCCCCTATCTTATCAAAATTAGCAAAAAAATTCAAATCAAAACTACCCCACCTTTACCCCCCTCCTATTTTATTAAATAGATAATAGTATAACTACATACTCCCTTCCAAATTCAATGACGATCTTATATTACATTATACACCTCCCCTAATCCTGGTAGAAGACTCTCAAGATATCGGTAAGGTTCTTATTTCAACCTTTAAGGAGTTCTATGGTGATTATCTTTTTCCATAAAGTTTTAAGGCTTTTTAGCCGTTAGGGCTCAATTTGTTTCAGAATTTGTAATTATTCTATGAAAATAGGAGTATTATTCAAGCTAGTTATATATTGAAATCCAATTGATTGTAAAAGCATATATTTTAAAATATTTTACAACTGAATTTACATTTATTCAATAACAATTGAAAGAAAGTTGTAATTATATCAGTTTTGATAACTACAGACAGAGACCTTATTAGCTCTCATTAGTATATTGGAATAGTGAGAGCAGACAGGTCTTTTTTTAAATTGATATTTAAGTTTTTTTTACTATTCAATTCATATAATTTTGTTAATAAATTTTTTATCGTTTTTTTACGATTGTTTGTTGATCAAAAATTAGATGTCCTTTAATCTATAATGATGGTGTTTGTTAGTTTGCAACATGTTGATTTAGATTTAGTAGTAATAACCCTGTTATTCTTGGTATTTACCCTATGAAGGATGGCATGACGCAATATCATTATTAAAATCGACAATTTAGTAGGGAGTAGTAGGACTATAATGTCGTCATTCTTGGTGTGGGAGTGACGGGAGGTGATTGCTGTAAGTTGTTGATATGATTTACTATTAATAATAGTCTATATTTTGAGGTCAGATGGTTTGCTGCAGTAGGTTTATGTTTGTTTTGGCGCTCATGATTAGGTGATTTGAATTTAAGTCTACAGATAAGATATAGTTTAAGAAATAATTTGCCCTTAATAATGAGATTATTTGAGATTTTGTTGTTCTTTTGGCATGTAGCCCGTACACATTCTTAAAAATCGATATGGAAAAATGAGGAGTAAACCTGAGTTCACAGGTCTTAAATAACATTAAACTATTTATTTACATAAATAAATATAATTCATATAACAAACTAGAAGTAAACCATATTAAGGATTATATTTTGTGACGATCCTATGTTAAAATAAGTTCTTTTATAAAATGATATCAAAAAACGGCAGATATTCCTTAAATCTCTGAAGTATAAATATATTTTTACTTTTTTTTCCTCTTTCGGATTAGTTGATGTTTGATGAATTACCTTTATCTATTGAAAATTGGGACCCGACAACAAAAAAAAATTTAAAAATCACTGATGGTGATATATCTCTTAAAGTCGCTATTCGAACACTGGGATATTCAAAATTACTAAGTGATCCCGTATTCGCTTTTCTAAATTCTCACTTAATTGAAGCTGATATTGGTGCTGAAATGGGTCTGACTTCTGCCAAAATGTTCGAAGATATCACGGCCAAAAACACGAGAATCATTCCGCAAGGATATGCAGTTATACTAAAACCGTAAAACAGAATTTTACTTTAATATCAATTAATTTTATCTCATAATTTTTTTTTAAATTTTTACCAATTAATTTCATGTTTTGCAAGAACAATAAAATTTATGTTTTAATTTTTAAATACAGGTTAACATGATATTAAGTATATTTTGTTTTTATATCCAATATTTTAATATTTATTAGGTAATATTGTCATGTTTATTATTTATATAAAATAATAAGAGATGAATTTGTTTGATTTTGATAATTATAGAAAAAATGCCTATTCTTCAAATAAGTGATAATATGCTTATTTGCCTTGGGTAGCAGAAAGTTAAAAATGTTCTAGATGTAAATTAAAATAAATATATTTTTCTTTTTATTTACCCCACACAAATTATTTAAAATAAATGGTGGAAATTTTTAAACGCTTCGATTTTGAAGTCAATTGTATTTGTAAATAAGCCCATTTCGCAAAATCCCCAATAAAAAATATTACTAACCAACTCAATTTAGTTATCCAGGTGCTTGTTTTAACACTGATTTAAAAGAACACATTATAAGGAATATTTTTCCAATTTTCTGTGATTTCTAGAATTTCTGAAGGATTTATAACTGGAGTAAAAATTTAAAACTATTATGGATGCACTCAGCTCAAATAACTAAGTCAAAAAAATTATATTTCTCAATAATTTTTAAAAAGTGGTGTTCATGGGATAAAGGGAGATATTTCAAGAGCAAATGCCTCATTCCTTAGGGAATGAGGCAAATACAAAGTGCGAACAAGTTAATAAAATAATAAAAAGAAATTAAGATTTTGATTTCCATTTATTAAAATTTCTTTTCTTAAAGAAATGGGTTCAAAAATGTGATAAAATTTGTGTATGATAATTTAAAATATTTGCCGATAAGTCAAGTTAAAAGAGATAAAATTTATGCTCACCAGATTGGTTCCCTTTTTTTTAATTGGTCGGTCTGGCCCATTTTTTTGCTTGGCTTGAACGGGATTTTCTATTTTTAATCTTGACTCGTTTTTCAAATTTCGATTATTTTCCTCAACACGGGATTTTTTTTTAAATTTTGTTATTTCGTATAATTTTGGCTTGTATTTATAAATTGTTTCGAAATAAAATGAATTGAAAATATGAGCAGCAAATGAACGATCTATTTTATGATTTTCCAGATTTTTCTACGAACTAATATATTGATAAAATTTAAATTATTCTTAAAAAATAAAAATTAAATTTTAAACTCAGTCCATTTTTAAATTATGCCATTTTATGGTAAGACGGTTAGGGCCTCGAGTTTCGGGTCGAGTTTTTTGAATGGTACTGGCCGGCTTGTATGCCCGGCCTAGATTTGGCTTTATATTATTGTTAGTAAAGCTTAGTCTGTGGAGCTTTGGGTTTGGAATATATTAATAATTCCCAATTTTAAATTTAATTAAAATTTTATAATTATAAAACTTTATTTTAATAATTTTAGCTTAGTTGATGGTAGTAATGGACAAGAGCAGCCTTTGAAAATTCTTCTAGATAAAGAAGTCATATCAATAAAGTTTGATAAGAATTACAAAATAAATGAGACGGATAGATGGCTCAGAATCACAACAAAAAAGGGCGATCTATTTAAATCGAGGGCTGTAATTATCACGGTTCCCTTGGGCGTTTTAAAGGCCAATACCATTATCTTCGATGAAAAACTTATTTCGAGGAACGTTAAAAGATCAATAGGCAAACTAGGTAGAAATTATTTTATCAGACAAAATTTTATATTTCTTTTTTAATTGTTTATTAATATAATCATGATAAATTATTTAAATTCCACCTAGAAATCAATATGATTTGATCTGACCCCCTAAAATGAATATATTTCCTTTGATATTTATTTACAATTGCTCGGTAGGATGTGTATAATACCTACCCTGTCCATTTCGATTCTATAAGATATTAGACATTGCCAGATTATCCGCATTGCTGATAACATATGGTCATTTATTTTGTTATTCAATATCAACAATAAAAATGTTAAAAATATAATTTAGAATAATCCATTATTTTAACTATAATGGTGTAATCTTCTATCTAAATTATAGAAATAATTTAAAATGTTTTCTATAAAAATTATTTAAAAATATATTCTCTCTCTGAGTGTGAAAACGCTAATTTTACTTTACCTAAACTAAATGTGAGCTAAGTAGAATGTATCTAGGATTAGTATACTATGAGATGGTTAATTTAATATTAATTTTTTTAAAAATATATAATATTTTGAATCATACACCGAAAGAAATGAGTTTTGTTAAGCGGCTCGTTTTGTTACTATTTTTAAAAGCGGCTAGCTCAATATTTAGCCAGAAAAAAATATTGCCTAAGCCATTTTGTTAATAAATATCTAGACCTTTGTGCCTTCTATGAACAAAATCTTCAGGCTTGGGTAATATTTAAAGATAAAATATTGAGTTAGACGTTTTTAAAATTGATTTAAAATGAGCCGTTTAACAACTCTAACCTAGACTAATGGTGAACGTGTTAATATGTTTTTTTTAAAAAGAGTTAATCGCCATCATTTGTCGAAATCTCAATGGCTTAGAGAGTATTTGGTTGGTTAATATCTTGAATCTAGGCTTCAATTCTAGAAAATAAGATTACTTTATTTTTATTACCTTTTTAAGAGTTTTTCTTAAATTTGTAATAGAAAATTTGGGTAAGTTCTTGATAAAGTTGAGAAATTCTAGATTTTTAGCCTAAAAAATTGGTACGGTTCTTGTGTTTTTGTTAATATAGCTCAACTTTAAAGAACGCAAAAATAAATATAAATCATATCTTATTTCTTAGAGGAGTTTTTTTTCAGCACATGCCTTTAGATTAATCCGAAGTTAGCAATTTTTAATCATTATCGCAAATGTCGATAAACGTTTTTCTTAAAATAATTTTAAACTATTATGCTATTTTATATATAATAAAGGATTTGGACTCATGAATAAAATACATCTTAAATTTAATGAGATATTTTGGCCCAAATCTTATCACGCATTTGGGCTGTTGCCCAACAAGGATTCATGCAAATATATTAAAGAAGTTAGAAGTAAATATACTAATTCTACTCGGACTCTTAAAAGACATGCAACAACAAAGGGTAAAGATTTAATAAAACACTTTATTTAAAGGAGTCGAGCCAAAATTAAACAATGATACAAATAAGAGAATTGAGTCGTCTTTGAGTAGTTTTTTATTTATATGATATTTATATTTAAATTATCTCAATGTTTTAAAGAAAATCCGAAAAGGAAACATATTTCAAATGCCAATAATTGCTCCGAATTAGATGCATCATTATATCATAGTTGGATTAATGGATATTTATATACAGGTCAAAAAGTGCTAATAGGTTACGCTACGGGAAAGGCTGCTAGATTAACGGAAGCACTCTCTGACGATAATATCAAAAATATCGGTAGTTAAATTTATATATAAATTCGATACTTTGTAAAATGAACCGTTTTTGATTTTTTTTTTATTAAACTATTCTTAACAGTAGTTATTTTGTTTCTTCCTATCCAATTACATTAATTAACCTAAACCAAATTAATAAATTATATAATATTTTACTAAAATGTAATTATATATATAAAGCCTTATCCTCAATTTCTGGTTGTAATTTCGGCCATTTTTCTACAGTAGTATTGTCTAAATTTCTAATAATGCATTATTGAAAATTTTTAAATTAATGACATGTCGAAAAGCCTTGGATAAACTTAGAGAGATTTTTGGGAAAAAGAAATTGAATAAAATTAAAGTTGCAGCCATGGTTAGAACTAAATGGCTACAGGATAGATTCGCAAGAGGTACTTGGACATACCACCCTACTGGTAATTTTAAATATTATTATAGAAGTATAGAAGAGTCTTAAGATTTTAGGTTAAAATTATATTTCTGCCTCAAATTCATTTTTTTGAGAGAGTATTTATTTTATTTGTATTATATAATATTGTGTTCGTAAAATAAAATAAATACTTATAAGGTTATTAAAATATTTTCATTTATTCTACCATAAATCTTATTTTAAATCTCCGATGCAAAGTATATTATTATATAATTTTTCTAATTGAAAATAAATTAGATGAATATAATTTTTAAAACAATTATTTATTATATCCTCTAGGATCAACATCAGCTGACTTGGAATCATTTTCTCAAATTAAAGGACCACTTTTTATAGCAGGCGAACATACGAATCCAGAAAATTATGGTACTGTGACAGGAGCGCACAACAGCGGCATAAGGGCAGCAAGGGCTGTACTAGATTATTTGTATAAAAATTATCATCATGAATACTCCTTAGAGAACATAGATCCTAATTTAATCAATATTGATTGACGATATTTTAAAATATCATGAAATTTTTGTATATAATTGGGGTTAAATAGGGAAATCGAAGGGTGATTTTTTTTAAATAATAGTAAAATGTAATTTTTGAAAAGTATTTTTATTTTCAAAAGTATTATATGTATATCTTAGATACTTTTTAGTAGGGTTGTATAATGTTTACCCTACAACATTTCCGCGCTTTGAATTATAAAATATAAGAAATATTTTAGTCTGATCTGAGCTAATCAAAATTGTCATTTTATAAATAATTGTGGTTAAATATGGAAATCTTATGTAATATTTTTTAAATAATAGTAAAATGTAATTCTTAAAAAGTATTATATGTATATCTTAGATACTTTTTAGAAGGGTTGTATAGTGTTTACCCTACAACATGTCCGCGGTTACTTTGCATTATAAAATATAAGAAATATTTTTTAGTCTGATTTGAGCTAATCATATTTTACAAAAATTGAACTATATTTTGAAGTAGCACAGTTTTAGGCATTCGAATCCATTTTTTGACTATTTAAGTAGAAAAAATGGTCGAGTCCGATATTTTTGCATTTATAAGAATGTAAAACTATTAAGAAGAAAATAAAGGAACTTATAGAATGATACTAGAGTAGACTATATTGGCCCATTGAAAGTTGTGATAGGTGGAAAATAAAGAAGAATCAGGCAAGTTAAACATGGAGGGATTTGGTAATTTCTTTCCCTCATCCTTCTAACATTTGGCATCATTTAATTATTATTATCAATTAGCAGCCCTTTCATCTCCTTCCATCCTCATTCGTTCTCTGCTTAGATTTTATCACATGGCTATTTTTTCTTCTTAATCAGATGATTCAACACAACCATTTAACGATCATTTCATGTTTGATTTTGTATATTTTATGTAAAATACAGTGGACACCCTTTTTTATCTACTTTTGAGCACCTCTAAAAGATATTTCCAGTATCTCCTGGGAAACTATTGATTTTGTATATAAATATATTTAAAATACAGGACCCTTAAGCTTTTTTTTTATTTTTGAGCACCGCCAAAAGATTTAAAGAAATTTAGGAGAATTTAAAATACCTAAGCTTATTACCTTATCACTTAAAAACAAAAAAGGTCAATTCGCCTATTTGCATCTCTTTCTCATAATAAAAATGTAATAGTTGCTTTTAATATAAATTTCATTGGATTATTAAAAACTTGTATATTTTAGAAAATCGGAATTTAATAAATTTTACCCCATCGAAAATTGATATGAAATCACATAAGTTTTACTCTTAAAAAATTGATATGTAAGTAAGCTTCTGAAATTCGAATACTTCAATATCCGTTTAATCATTTTAAAATTAAATTAATATATGAATATTATATTGGAATATTTATTTTTTTTTAAATTCCATTTTCAAATTTTTTTTCAAACAATTAATATTCTAATAATTTTTATGAATAATTTTTAGCTTATTAAATTGGGTGTCCGAAATATTTAAGATTATATGTATTAATATTAATAATTTACATTGGGGCTACAAATATACCTGTATCTAATTTTTATAAAATTAAAAACATATAGCACAAAAAATAAGGAAGGAAAAGTAAGTCTAGGAAATGTCTAATTTAAAAAAAAAATCAATTTATAATCATTATTTAAAAAGATCAAAAAATTAATGTAGTTCAGCCTCTATAGTAAAAAGCAAGTTTATAGTGTTAAGGTAGTGAATATAATTGGTATGAAAACGTAATCTAAAATTTCCGAAGATTAGATATAATTTTAAGCTGTTCTCTTTGCTCTAAGTAAAGTGTTTGTTGGATTAGATCAATAGTCCCAATAAGAAATTAGCCACTACTTTATGGGATAAATGTAGTGATGACAGCCGCTTTCCATCAGATTCAAAAAATTTAGGTTTCTCAAGTATGGGAAGTATTTAGACAGATTTTAAGCCTCTCTAGATCAGCTAATTGCATTGACCGAGCTTATGGATTCAGCTTTTGCACGATCGGCAGTTAAAATGTGTCTTCCTTTGATGTATATAAGAGGGCAGCAGAACAAGTGAATGTGAAGAAAGGTTATAGCATAGTTAAGGTGGATTTCAATAATATAAGTGAGCTTAGTAAGATGAATCTGAAGATTGGTGGAAGGAATTTTGCACAAAAAATTCGGGGCCTATTAATTAAGAAGTGAAAAGCTATTAATCGGTTGGTATCAGGCTAGATAATAACGATTTAACGCAACGTACGACTGGTCTATCCGAAACCTTCTGTCTATTTTTAGGCGAAAGGACATCAGCGACATGCGACTTCAAAGATAGAGTCATTTTTGAGGTGCGAGCCTTGATAATGGATTGGAAAGTAGATTGCTCAAAATGATGGCAGTAAGAGCCTAATTGGTGGGAGATCCAATCCCACACCTTTTTAGTAGGTTATATAGCCTTTTTGGTTGGATCTTTATTCCCTATCATAAATGCTAAGAGGGATGGGAAATTTAAAAACGGGAGTTGATTACAAAGAATAAAGAATACGCTGAATGTTAGAAATGTCTTTAGGAGGAAAAATAATTATACGAGGATAACAGGTAAAAAACGTCACTAAGGACATCAAGAATAGAATGGAAATAATGATTGCCGTGAATCGGCAAACTAAATGTGTTAGTTTCTCTTGAGTGACGATTTTAAAATTGTGAAGATTCGAATCGGAGGAATTTAGTTCCACAAATTTAGATATATTCGAGCTGAGAATAGGACCAACAGCGCTTCCCTTTTACTAATTATCAATACTGCTAGAAAATAAAACCATCGTTAATATATCTAACGTGAAGCGAAAAGGAGCATGCATAATTAATGATTTGGATTAACTCATTGATTCCTAGATGAAATAAAAGAGATTACGAAGCTTGATGCCCTCAGTTGAGTGTATTTTGAGGAAGCTGAATTGCAAAATTGAAAGAACTTGGACCAGATTATATGAATTTGGCAACTAGGAGATGATGTGCTAGCTTATTGGAACGAGTTGCAGGAGAGGAGGTTATACGTATTAACGAAATCAATTTTGATGAGTGTTCCATTTGTAAGATTACTGTCCAGAAGAAGTCCTGATGTAAAACCTCACATCCACCAATAACTTCTACTCCTAATTAAAAGGTGAGAAGAAGAGAGGCCTCATGCTTAATCCTGGGTAACATCATTTTGAGAAGAGGGTGACGGAATGTTGAACTTAAAGTTAGAAATGGTATATCCTTATTTAGCTTCTGTAAGGTAAGTCTGGCTTCAGAAAAATAAGGTGACAAAGCTGGGAAAATCTTTATGTAAAAATCTTTTGCACAGTTAATTTTTGAGGTAAGGTGAATATTTATAAACTGATAAAAAAAGAAGTTGCGTCTTGGAGGAACATAGGTCGGATCCCATCAAGGCCGTAAATGGAGTCATGATTACTTTGGCAGAAGCTACATTGAAAGCACAATGAGAATAAGGCTATTCATTAATTGGTATTGAAGTAGATGTAGGAGTTTAATATAGGTTTCATTAGTGGACTCTAAAAGAAATGCAAGCCAATTTATGGGACTTTTAATAAACAGTTTATTATCTTTGAGATAAGCTTAGATTTAAGCTAGAGAGAAGAAACTCTTTTCTTGTAAAAAAAATGGTAGAACCCTTAACCTACTAAAAATGGAGATAAATTTTACTGGGTGCATCCTTAATCTTTTAAGTTAAAAAAGGACTTGACAAATAGTTTGAAGGTCTTATAGCCAAAGTATGATATGATATTTGGTTGGTGTTGGAAAATGTATCACTGTCGATTATATTGGGTAGATATGTCTGTCTACAACAAAAATAACTGCATAGTTTGGCATATGGAGCAAATAAATAAAAATAATGCAATGGCACGATAATGATTAAAGCTAACATAAATTGCCCAAAGGCTTTACAATACAGAGACCTAATACCGATTGTTATGGGGGGGGGGGGGTAGAGGTATGGCGCTTACTACACCTAATAAGTGTCCTTCTGGTACTGGGAGATAAGCTATGACTTTCAAGCGAAATCATAAAATAGGATCCTGATTACGCCATTGATTTATAGTTAAAAAGATTAATAAATATGGTATGAATAATATTAGTAATAAAAAAAATTTCATCATGGCGTTTCCAAATATTCGGCTTCGGAAACCTTGAACCAAACTTTTCGAAACGGAACAGAAATACGAAAATATATTTGTTCCGGGCAGAGTTTGAAAAAGAAGAAAGATTGATCAAAATTAACCTAAAAATGGTACATATTTTTGTAAAATTTTTTATGTATAGATTTTGTGATTTTTAGGTTGTCTAAAAAAAATTAATATCTTTAATGATTTAAAAATTAATTTCTCTTCAAAAAATTTTGCCTAAAATAAAATAACGCTGTTAACTTTAAAATAAATAACTTTGAAAGATAAAAAATATGCTGAGATTTTATTAGTTTTTCTAGAATTTTATCGAAATTACTGATAAAATGTTTGAAATAACATTAACAAAATAAATTATCCATTTTTAAAACATAAACTAACCCTAAATCATACATGTCTCACAACTCTATTCCTAAATTACAGATTTCATTTTACCGGAGTTCGTTTAAGAAAGATTATATAGGTTAGCGTCAATTTTTTTCGGCAATGTGTTAATTTTTCAACTTCAAACGATCCGATTTTACCGGAAATTTATTATTTCATCATGTATAGAATACTTACCATATGAATTTTAGACAATTTTTCTATATTGAAGTTAATATAATTTATATTGTTTTTCCGATTTTTTATATAAATTGAAAATGACTCAAAGGTTAACGGCAATATTACTACAATTAATAAGATAGGTATTCTAAACATGATGGAATACATTTCCGGTATAATCAGATTTTTTAATTTAAAAAAACGCGCTCAAATAATGGTTTAGAATTGAAAATATAACACATTGCCGGAAAAAAACACATTGCTGCTAACATATATATAGCATATTAAAACCAATATTTTTTGTTCCTATATTTTATTTAAGAAAACCATGGTTGGCAAGTCGATCAATTGACCGGTCAAATTCGGTCAATTGATAGAAGGAATATTTGACCTGGTGAAATACGGTCAAATATTCTAAAATGTTATTGGTGAAATAACTATATATTGATTTAATTAACTAATATATATTTAAAGCATGTTTATCAATCTATTTAGGTTACAATTTATTTTAAAATATATTAGTATCATCAAGGCATCGATTTAATTATAATTTTATATAAAAAGATAAAATTTTCTTAATAAAATATTAGAATTTCATTTTGAAATATAAAATAAAGAATTTTTCCCATTATTAATTTGATTGCATCTAAATATATAAATATGGTTTGAGAAAATTACTAATTGCCAATTTATATTATCATATGTACAATTATCCAAACAAGATGGGCATCATCAATAAAATGTAAGGAGCAAATACAAATATGCAAGAAAGCTCTGAAAGCAGCTGTTGAAGAAGTTGGATATTTGTCCAAGAGAAATTACCAATAACATATTAAATGATATTTTGGACAAAAAATTTAAAATTTTAAACTATTCATAAACATTTAGTTATCTTATTGACCTTGGCTCACGTAAAAAATGAGATGCCTAATTTAGAAAACACATAATACAATCATGCTATGATTTTATAATTTACCAACCTGAAGAAGAAAAATTAAAGATACGTTAAAACAATCCAAATACATGTGCTCACACTGCACTGCTGATTATTTATTGGATCCCCAATATAAGGGAAACATTTTACTTGAGATTGATGAAACATATTAATACATAGTCGTTCATAGGCGTAGCCAAAGGGGGGGGCAAGGGGAAATCCCCCCTTCAGAAATTTATCACTTTTTGTAAATATCATTTTTAGCTAATAAAAAATATCCCCCTTAGTCATCCCCCCACTCCCTGACCCTCAAATATGTATGCATATATCTTAAATAATAATTTAAAAGAAAGAATGTAAAAGTTGATATTTTTTTATAAAACTATTCATCATAATTTATAGATTTTTGGGAAAATAAATTTATAAATATATAAAATGAACCAAAAATGTTTTTTAATAAATGGAATCTAAGCCAAAGATAAGTCTTAAGACAGAAGTGAAATGTATTATAATTATTAATAATAGATCCATAAAATTACTAAATAATATAATATATCAAATATAATTTTTTATAAAGTGAGTAATTTTAATTTATTAATCTTAATAAAAGTAAAATATAATTTTAAAACTATTGATAAAATCAAATCATAAATTAAAAAAATATTAAAGCACAATACAAATAGTGGAATATTATATGTCGTAGATTTACAGTATATCTAATTATCAAATGACAATCAAGTAATTTTTACCAATATAGCGAATAATATATTTTACAGAAAACTATATAATATTGATAAGGACATCAGAAAATATCTTTTGAAGACATTGTGGGATGAATAATATGAAGATTAAATTTAAATATCATTTTTACTTAAAATAATTAAATGGCGTTAAATAATTGAATGCAAATTGTTGCATATTTAATATCAAGAGCATTGATTAGTAAAATATGTTAAATTATTAACTGTAATATATTCTCTAACTGTCAAATATGTCTGTAAAAGTGGAAATTTACCTAGTATTTTATAACTAATTCTATATAATAGAGTAAAATCAACTATATGTCTACTTACTTTTTATAAATAAATTACTTAATTCCCCCCCCCTTATGAAAATCCTGGCTACGCCTATGTAGTCGTTTTACAAAGTGATGATCATCAAAATATTTTAAGTGATGTCATAAATTTCAGAAGTAAAAGTGGCGGTATATTTAGTAGCCAAAATATGTGGAAACCAGTAACTTTCATAAAAAATAATCAGATTTCGGGCTGAAGTAGTTGGAATGGGCTTTATTCGCCTTGAATATTAAGAGAAATATCTAATATCTTACTAACTTCTAGTTATACTTCTTTTTCATAAAGAAATTTGTCTGTCTGGGGTAATATTCATACGTAGAAAAGAAATCCGATTGAAGATGTCTACAACCAGAAAATTGGTAGGAGTATATCATAACATAAGATTGATTAAAAAATGTTAAAGAAAATAATAATATTGAATATAAATTAGAACAAGAGCGAAACATTAATTATGGAATTTAGAAAAATAATTTAATATACATAAATTCATTTTTTACTATTATATATAAAATAAAATTAATATTGTCTTAAAAATCCTTTATTTGAATTTGACCATATTTGACCGGACAAATATCAAATGCACAACCCTGAATGAAACAATCTAGCATTAAAATTTCTTTAAGGTTTTTCAACAACATAAAAGAAGTTTAATCAACATATTTTTTTAAAATACAAACGAAAAACGCGAATCAATTTTTCTTAAACAAAAACTCCAATTAGAAATTTTTAAACATAATTACACCTGTTTTTTAGGAACATTTTTACTATAAGCTCTTTTTAGAGCCATCGATATTTTTAAAATATGCATTCACTTTTAATATATATTAATTTTTGCTATTTATTTAGTAACGAGCTACCGTTATCTCTCTTTTTAAAAAAATGTTGCACGCTAAAGATATCGATACTAAAAAAAATAGCTATGGAATATCGTGCTAATATAGAACACTGCATATTATATATTTCAAGTTCAGGATTGGAACCGAAAAAAGATTTAAAAAATTGTTTTATTTTCATTCTCTTTTATTTCTGTAAATTCTATACAACTAAACATTTTGTTAATATGTTGACCCCCCCCCCAGACCAAGTCATACCTATCAAGACCAAGAATGAAGACTTTCAGTCAAACCATATTAAAATTAGCTTTTATTTGATAACCATATCAAAAAATTTATTTTTTACACCCCCACCCCCTAGACCGTCCATTATGGGGTAGAAATTGACCTTCAGTTGAATAGATTTTTAGATTAGCTATCGATTGATACCCATATCAAAAAAATTATTTTTTACACCGCCCCCCACCCCCTCCAGACCGCTAATTATGGGGCAGAGATTGACCTTCGGTTGAATAGATCTTTTGATTAGCTATCGATTGATACCAATATCAAAAATAATTATTTTTTACACCGCCCCCCCACCCCCTCCAGACCGCTAATTATGGGGCAGAGATTGACCTTCGGTTGAATAGATCTTTTGATTAGCTATCGATTGATACCAATATCAAAAATAATTATTTTTTACACCCCCCCCCCCAAGACCGCCTATTATGGGGTAGAAATTGACCATCAGTCTAATAGATCTTTTGATTAGCTATCGATTGATACCCATATCAAAAATAATTATTTTTTACACCCCCCCCCCCACCACTCCTACCCTTCTAGACCGCCCATTATGGGGCAGAGATTCACCTCCAGTTGAATAGATCTTTTGATTAGCTATCGATTGATACCCATATCAAAAAAAGATATTTTTTACACCCCCCCCATCCCTACCTCCTAGACCGCTCTATATGGGGCAGAGATTGACCTCCAGTTGAATAGATCTTTTGATTAGCTATCGATTGATACCCTATACTAGACATATCTTATAGGCCAAAAAAACAACATTGAAAATTAAAAAACGCAACGAAACTCGTGGAAAACGCTTTAAAATAAGATTTCTCTTTATCACGATTTAAACGTGATAATACAATATAGTTCTTTATCCTTTAAAAAATTGAAATTTTAAAGGGATCCCTTTAAATCCCGTGAAGATCCCGGACAGTCATGATCCCTTTAAAAATTACGACATATATATTCATTTTTTATTTTTATATTTTGTTTACGTTTTAAAGATAAATGAATAATGGTTAATTATTATATAATATAATAAATATTATATTATGCAATACATTACAATACAGAATTTATATTAAAATTAAAATAACAAGGACAATATAAGCTAACTAATTCATAAAATAAATTAAGATAAATTAAGGAATAATGAATATTTTTACTTCCCTTATTTATGTAAAATTATTTTTATTGCTACATGGACAGGAAATGGATCATGTAACAATCCCAAAATGTCCTGTAATTGTAATAGGTGCAGGTATGGCAGGCATAAAAGCTGCGAGGGTTTTACAAAACTCGAATTTACATGATGTGACGATATTAGAAGGGAGACCTGACAGATACGGTGGAAGAATTTGGACAAACTATGAGGCCATGAATGGCTCAACGGGTAATTGATTTCTTTATATTCCCATTAAATATATTTATATATACCATCTTGCTCTCCTAAATATTAATTAATCAGGCAAACCATGACAAGTAGCTATAGGTTCAAGAGTTTTATACTGATTTGTGAACTTCAGTTATTTTTTTGTAGAAAAATATTTTCGGTATTTTACTAATTTATTTTTAACCTTTTTGAAAATTATTGTAATTATCCAGTAGATTGATATGATTTTTTTTTTAAATAAATGAACAATTTTTTTAATACCATATTATATAAAATAAAATCAGTGAAAAAATATTATTTATAAATGAGAATTTTCCTTTTTTGATCGGATCCTTTTCCCTTTTCCTTCGAGCCTTCTCCTTTTTTGTTCGGGAATTTCCTTCTTTTGAGAACTTAATCCATTTTTGAATGAGAAACCCTGTAATTTATGGTAGAACTATTTAAAATTAAAACATTACTAAATAAACACACTATAGGAGCCGAGGAAGATAGTAAAGTATGGAGGGGGAAAAAACTTCCTCCAAAGATAGGAAATTATTAAAAATACTAAAGGTCAGGCCATTCATCGCTTTTTTAAAACGTTCATATACCTACAGCTACACTTGTAGCTGGCTCCTATCCATCCCTTGACTATAATTATATTATATTTATAAAGTAAATCACTCAGAAGAGATGGTATGTCCTAGATCACATTATTATTAGTCTTTATATTTATAATTATAAAGAGGTGATCACTTGGTTGTTGTTTTTTTGTATTTTTCCTCTTCCTCGTAAATTGTTTTTTTTAAAATTATCATTTAATGTTATTAATGTATTTTTATCAAAATAAGATAATGATGTATTCAATAATAAATAGGAGTTGAAGCGGATATGGGGGCCTCCTGGATATGCGATGATGATATAAAAAATACGGGAATGAGGATAACCTTAGCTAATAGGATTCCTACAGTTTTTAGTGATATTCTTCATCCCAGAGTCTATCATGGGAATAATTCTCATATTCATGATGATGAATGGACTAAAATTTTTAAAATATATCGGCAAGTGAGTGATTTAAACAAAATTAGTGTATATAGTATAATTTTAAATTTATAGATTTATATATTCAAATATAAATGTATAAATGTATAACTAAAATTTCTTAATCCAATTTTTGGATATTAATTAAAGTTTGGATTTATGAAAATATTTTGTTTTCCTAAAAAATGAAGACAAAATTTTAAAAGCTTGCTATATTCAAAAAAGTTTAATAGTTCTGATTATATGAATGAAACAGGAAAATTACATGAAAATGAATAATATTTTTAGCTATTATTTTTAATAGATTTAAAAAAAAATTTTTTTAATATTTGAATTATAGATAATATTTGACATATTTCCAGTATATCTTAAAAACTTGAATCTATATGGGTTGTCAAGAGATCTAAAACTTTCCAAACAAAATTCTTCAGAAATCACTAATGGTGATATATCGCTCAAGGATTCTATTCGATTATTGGGATTTTCAGAATTATTTAACTACTCAGCATTCGCTTTTCTAAATTCTCATTTAATTGAGGCTGATATTGGAACCGAATTCGATCTCACATCTGCTAAAATGTTTAATGAAATCACAGCCAAAAACACGAGAATCATTCCACAAGGATATGCAACCATATTAAAACCGTAAAAATTATATACTTATAATTTAATCATTGAAATGTTTAATTAAATTTAACGATTTTTTAAAACAAATGTGTTTTTATACTAATTTCATTCAAAATTATAAAATAATAATCATGGCCATATAATTTTCAAATGCTTATCCGAAATTTTTATTAATATAAAAAACAAAATATTTTTAAATTTTAGAATACATCTCTTCTCAGCTATTCTTTTTCCCCTTGCTAGCTATGCCATTATCATCCATATTAATATTTAGAATTCTAAATAGTAATTGTAAATAGCATTTAATGAAACATTAATAGGATCAATCCATGTATCTCCTCTCAAATTTTTACCAATTTTTAAAATATATAACCCTATATATTGAAATTCTGCATTGGGAGAGGGTCCACAAGACTCGCCATCCCAATGTTTTAAGAATTTTCAATATACCCACCCTCCCTTGGTTTTAGAAAATCATTTCTCCCGCCAGGCTATTGATTATGAATGATATAACCTTCCTCCTATCCGGCCATTTTAAATAATTTAATTGGTTAGCTATAGATCAATAAAGGAGAGAGCGGAATTAGTTTTTTTCCCCGTTTGAACTCTCTGCACTGTGAAAAATACATTTGTGATAATATTCAAAAATAGTGAGAAATATTTATTTTAAAAAAACTTGATTTGCTTAAGTATGGAAGGATATTATGTAAAGGAACAGCTATTAAAATTACAAAAAAAAGCATTGAATTCCAATTTGAACCAATCGTATTCAAATTTGTTTTCACATTCAATTCGATATGAATTATTATAAGAATCTTTGCATTGCCTTTTAAGAGATCTGATTATTTCATTTAATTTTATTATACCTTAGAGGATATTTATTGTATAATTTATTTATTAATTACTAATAAATTAGTTTAGTTAATGGTAGTAATGAACAAGAGCAGCCTTTGAAAATTCTTTTAGACAAAGAAGTTATATCGATAATGTTTGATAAGGACCCAATAAATGAGACCGGTGGATGTCTTGAAGTCAAAACGAAAAAGGGCGAAATATTTAAAGCAAGAGCTGTAATTCTTGCAGTTCCCTTAGGCGTTTTAAAGGCCAACACAATTCGCTTCGATGAGAATCTTCTCTCGAAAAACGTTAGAACATCAATAAACAAATTAGGTATATATCTATACACATTTATCAAACAAAAATCTCTAATATTCTCTGAAGAAAACTCATTTATTTCAGAACCTTAAATTGAATCTTTAAAATAAATTTAAAAATTTCTGAACCCGAACTCAACCTTTATTATATTCTTCGGTTTGCATAATTGCACTTTTTGAAAATAAATTGGAAATGTAAAAACCCGAACCCCGCTTAAGAAGAAAGAAAAATTTAAACTCAAACAGAGATAATATTAAAATGGGTTTTCAAGCAACATAAAAAATTATCTACATTAATTATTTTAATTTGCTATAATTATTTATATAGGGGAAACGGTAAAGCGATTGATGGGGTAACAATGTTTAAAGCGATTAATTTTTTAACTCTTGAGCATAAATACCTTAAATTTAGTTATATAGATGTATTTTTATTATATTTCCTACTTATGTTTATCTTTTGAAATATTTTCCTGCTTTGACAAATTTTCCAAATAACCGTTTTTCCTGAAAATTGTAAAAATCAACCTCTAGCAGGACTTAAGCTGTACCGCGAAACCGGAACGAATCTAAGAACCGTAACCTTACCAAGAGCGAACCAAATTGTTAGAAATATTAACCGGTTCAAAACGGTTATTAGGAATAATTAATTTTAGATTATTATTCTAAATTTGAAATTTTAATTTTATTTTTTCAAATTAAAATTTTTTACAATTAAATCGTAATTATCTTCAAATCAATAAATACCAACCAAATCTACTTTACATACTCAATTTAATAGAGATTAGAAAAATTACTAGTTAATTAGATAAGAAATAATCTTCATGGTTAAATTAAATAAGGAATTATAAAAATATAAAATAAAAAGATTTTTCTCTAAGATTAATATAGATATGGTTTATGATTAATTTTTTTTTAAAAAATCAAATTTATAAAAACTGGAACGAATCAAAAAGAACCTTATAAATTCTAAACCGAACCGATATGAATTTCTTCAAAAAATATGAAATGGAACAAAACTTTATAAAAACCGCTATACTTAACGGTTCGGAGCCCTGCCCTCTACTTTATTTTGCTTTAAACAAAATATATTAAGGGTCATAATTTAAAATTTTGTGTAATGTTCCTTAAAGTTATAGCTATAAAATATAATTTATCGGAGAAGTTTAACCGAAGCCATGCAATAACGATTTGTTTAAACATATATCACCTTGGAAAAAAGTTGCTCTGGGTAAAAAACGGTTAAAAATTCCATCTGATTAAAGCTGTAAAAAGATAATTTTGGTAAATATTTACGTCTACACTTATATAAAAAAATAATTTTAGCAAAAAGGAACATTGATAAATAGTTTGCTTTATTTGGGAAAAAAGTAAGACTTTATAACGATAAAAATATTGAATTTTGATGTTAGTTTACACATTTATAATAATTAATTCAATTAATATTTATCAATCAATTATTTTTTTTTAAATGTAAGGATTTGGTGTCATGAACAAAATACATCTCAAATTTGATGAAATATTTTGGCCCAGATCTTATCATGCATTTGGACTATTGCCGAGCAAAGATATATGTAAAGATATCGATTTTAAAGTTAGAGAAAAATTCGTTGTATCTAATCGGAGTCATAGAGTATCTATGATATGTAGGGAAAAAAATATCCAAGGAGAAGTCAAATTAATTAATGATTCCAACGTAATCATTGAGGAACTTTTAAGTAGTATTTTTTTATATTGACATATTCATTAAATTATTGTTTGATATGTATTATAGATAAACAAGATATGCATATATCTGATGCCAATTATTGTGACGAATTAGATGCATCATTGTATCATAGTTGGATAAATGGATATTTATATACTGGTCAAAAAGTTTTAATAGGTTACGCTATGGGAAAAGCTGCCAAATTTACAGAAAAACTGTCTGACACAACTGTTAAAAATATCGGTACTATGAATTTTATTTGGCGAATAATTAAACCTCCAATAATTTTTACAAATTCTCAGTATTTTTTGATCATCTTTATCAGTATCAAATTAATATTTATTCAGTACAAATAACAGAAATAAAGTATAAAATACACAATTGTTCGGTATTTTTTTACCAGTAAAAAGACAAATTTATTCAGTAGAAAATCACGTTTCCTTATAAATAATGAATTTATAGGTGATATAAAAATATTTGTAAAAATACTGGTAATTTCGAATTGAAAAATGTTCTTTGTGCTGAACCTGGCTAAAATTATTATGAGATAGAACCGAAAATTCTTTCTTAAAAATTTACCCGAACCTGGTTAGTAAGGATAAACTTAACCAATGATAATCAAAAACAAAATTTATTTTTGGTTCATAAGAAAGTCACATTCAGTTTTTTAAAATATTTTATTATGATCAGCGTCTACATAAACGGAAAGGGGGGTGGAGGGGGGGGGGGGGTAGGTAGGAACAATTTACTTCCTATTTTTTGAGGGGGGTAGGTGGCTTTAATGGGGGTAGGATAATTTTTTGGTGAGTTATCTATTAAATTTTGAGATCGAATAGGACAAAATTTATTGCTGTAAAAATTAAAACTTTTATTATAGACATATTGTAATACAATTCATCAACAAAATCTATATATTGCAAACAATCATAGACATTATTTTCCAAATTAAACTTTCTGCTAACCTTTCAAATGTAATTTAAAAGGTTTAGACATTTTCAGCAAGCTCATAATGATATAATAATGAATTCATTGTAAATGATGGGGGTTTTAATTGAATTTTTTATCTAAAAAATAACTCCTTTATATTCATAAATTGTCGATAATTGGGGTTTTTGAAGGGGTTTGCATCCAGAGAAAATCCTGTCAGGTAGACGCTGATTATGATTCAATTATATCTAAATTTTTTTTAAAATTAATAACATCAAAAAGCATTTGGTAAATTAAGGGCAATGTTTGGGAATAAACTGAATAATGTTAAAATTGTTAATATGATTAGAAGTAAATGGCATAACGATAAATTTGCAAGAGGCACTTGGACGTACCCATCTATTGGTAACTTTAATTATTTTACAGAGATATATGATTTTTCAGCTTCAGAAATTATGTAATAAAAAATAATAATCAAAATTTACTATAATTTCTTAAATGATTCTCTCATAATAAATGATACACTTTTAAAAACTGGAAAAAATTAATTATGAATAATGTTTGAAAAATAGTCTCTATCAATTACTTATAATAATCAATCCATCCCCATGAATGAAAACCCAAGATTAAATTTGATTATTATACTATAATTTTAGTTTAAATCGAATAAAAATATCAACTGGCAAAAATAAAATTAGTTGCACATTTATTAAAATCTGTTATGTATGGACTTCTTAAAATTTGATGTTCTGATTTGTGCTCTTCTCTTATACATTTCTAGAATAGATTCTATAGTGGCATTTTTTTTATCAGATATGGTCTATTTAAGTTAGCATGTTTTAATTTAATAATTCAAGAGATTTGAGAAATTTTATAAACCCTTAGACCCAAGGTCAATAGAATTCAGTGAAATTTATTTTTAACCTATTTTTATAGTAAAAGATAAAAGAGAGAATATTTTTTCAATATTATTTAGGATCAACACCCAACGACTGGGAATCATTTTCTCAATTGAAAGGACCACTATTTATTGCTGGAGAGCATGCTCATTTTGAAAATACCGGTACTGTGTCTGGAGCATATTACAGCGGTGTAAACGCAGCAAGGGCCGTACTAAATTATTTATATAAACATTATCCTCGAGAATGTACTTTAGAGAACATAGATCTAGCTAATTTAAATGACATTAATTAAACATCAAAATAATATATTCATCTTAAAATTAAGCCACAAATTTGTTAAGTTGGGAATCCAGAAATCTAAATAAAATAAACCGGAAATATAACATAATAAATAAAAATTATCATATTAAGATATTTAGTTTTTAATATTGAATTATATCCAAAGTGGTTCAAACCGAACCTGAGCATTAAAAAATTTGCCACCCAAACCTCTAAAATGCATGTGAACCGGTTTGAACCTCTTGATATTATAACCCTTTTGAAGATTATTACTAACCGGTTTTGACTGATAAATCAGTAATTATTTTTAGATATTTTTCGAATATTGATATTTGACGATACCAACCACCCAAGTTAGCATATAAAAGTATTCTTAGTCATAAAGTTTATTCTTATCCTTTATAGATATAATTTGACAGAAGAGAATCTTGAAAATATTTTAATTGCATACAGATCAATATTATTTTTATGAGAATACTGACAAAATTTTAAAAAATATACTTTTCTTCATCAATTTTATAAGCCTATGTGAAAAAGCCAATATTATTATATTTAACGAACCGAACCTTTATTTTTATCTGAACCTAAACTTGAATTGATATTTGTTTTGGATTGAATCCCTGTATCCATATTTGTATTTTATAAAAATGGCAAAATATTCTTGAAGGAATTATAATTTATATTGTAGATTTGATTATAGGAAGTTTTGCAAATAACTTTTATTATTAATATTTTATGTATTGATTTAAAATTTAGTAGTAATAATTATAAGGAACACGCATATGACATTAGGAAGCTTAGGAAATCACATTTTAAGATCTGAGTTTACAGCTGATTCGTCACAAATACTTTATGAAATGTAGTAAACAGCTGTGGAAATTTCATCATTCGGCAAATATTTGTATATTATACCTATTATTGGCTTGCTTTAAATTATGCAGCGATTAATTTCGCATCACTTGAGCAAATCGTGCTTACTATAAATGCAGCATAAGTCCGATCAAAATCTGAGAGTATAATGTTTAACTGGGCGGATAAATTATAAACGCAGGAGGAAAGAAATATAAAAAATTGGTATTCTTCTTGAAAAAATATATTTATAAAAGCATTAAACAAAAGAATTTAAGTGCAAGTCTGGTCCAAAGAAACAATTTTCGATAAGGTTCGGTCCTGACCCACGTCTTAGAGAAGCGACCAACCGGTGGAATCAGGCAGAGAGAAGTTAACCCTCCCCATTCCTTCCCCTTTCTTATGAAAATTACCATATCTATTATTTTTAAAGTTAGGCAAATTATAAAATCAAAGCATACGATTGAGCTACATAACACATTATTAATGAATTTTTTAATCATTTAAAATCATATTTTTATGTAATAAATATTTTTTCATACTTTATCAAATATTAATAAATTTAAATAAATATCAAATAACAATATACAATTAATAAAATAGTACTATATGTAAATAATTCAATGAAATAAATGCCCTATTTGATAGGATTGTACATTTGAGAAATTCTAACTGCTTCTCTCATTCCACTAATACAAGCTCCCAAGACAGTACCTGGATTTATAGACGAGGTGTGTTCGCCTGCAAAAAATATTTTGTAATCTGAATTTTTTGTGAGGTTCCCTGAATTTTGAGAATTATCATCACCAGTGTATTTAGCCCTGGTTGGGAGAGACATAACATCGTATTCTTTGGCTATATCAGCATATAAAAAATAATTATGTTCGAACGATTTTTAAATGTAAATTGCATTAAGCATAATTTTGAAAAAATATAATAAAATGTAGGAGTATAACTAACAGGAAACTCCTGGAGGTAGGTAGGAAGTGCAACCTTTCGACCAAATATCGGCTCCCCATCTCGTAACGATGCTCTCTTTTGGCTTACATATATTTAATATTATTATGCATTTCATAAAATGGCTCAATATAATCGCTAAGAATGTAAAACTTTTTAATAATTAATTGAAGAGCCTAATCAATTATAAATTAATTATAGATAATTGTATAGAATAGTGATTGTAGCAATAGTCTAAAAACATTATTTGAACTCACACTTTTATTAAAATGATATTTATCTACAAAGGACTTTAAATAAAAATTATCGTATAAAAACACAAAATCACAAATGATTTGGTTTGGTATTTGAATATTCAAAAAATGAGTTTAGTTTATGAGAATTCAGTGTATAAACTCCAAATTTGGTGTGTTTGTCTTTGAAATTAAAAAATTCTCCCAGTTCTATATATAATATTTTAAAATTCAATTGTCTTAAAAATTTCAAAAGCAATAAAATGTTGTATTTAGTCGAAATTAAATTTAAGGTCAATTAAGCTCGTAAAGATAAAAATATAGATTAAAGCCTAATAGAAAAATTTTATTTAAAATATAATAATATATTTTATGCTACTTACGAAAGGAACATTATCATTTCCAAAAATTCTTTTTAAGATCGTCAAACATCTATCCACCAATAAGTCATCGTTCAATTTTTCCAATAACCTAGCAGCGTAACCAGATATGATAGCTGTTAAGATGGGAGAGGTCTATAAAGTCATCGGCATAATAAATTAATATAAATAGCAATGTTTACCCATTTTCGGGCAATAAATATGTATAATATAACGTTTTTCCTGCTAAAAAATGATCAATTTTTATAAAAATTAGATAAATTATTTTTTTTTTAAAATGATTCAATTTTTGGGCAAACTTTATTGACGCACCAAAATAAGAAAAATTCTCCTCGACTCTCGGGAGTAGAACAACCCGCGTATCCGAACATCTGACAAGAAGGGTCCCAAAATATTTTATCAAAATGGATAATGACCTGAATGATATAATTAATAATTTTATTAGAAAATTTACTATTCGTAGTTATTTCTTCTCGTAAAAACTTAAATTTGGCAAATCAGGCGACTAAATACCCAAAGCTGTTCTACTTTTTGTAAGCAATAATGTATAAAAATATAACTCATCAATATGCCTAGCCTAGTCTATACTGACGCCAATCATTAAAGGGCATTTTAAAGTATACATATATGGAGCTGGCTATAGGCTCCATTTTGTGGTTTGAGTGTAGACTAAAATACAATTATTATAAATAGCAGAGTTATGAACAGTAGATTAAGCCCTATAATAAAACTTTCATCCTGAAGTAGTGTTGTTAAACGACTCAGCCGAGTCGGCTTAACTATGACTCACGTTGAGTTTTTAGTCAAAAAAATTGACTCAAAACTCGAGATCGACTCATTTTTACGACTCGAGTTATGAACTTGAGTCATGAACTAAAGTCGCGACTCGAGTTATGAACTTGAGTGGTAAACTCAATAAATAGTTTATTAAATTTTATGAAACTCAATTGCTTATATAAGTGTTATTGGTTAATTTAACCCAGATCCGTGGTTTAAGTCTAAAAATCTACTAACCAAACTAGCGATGAGCACAAACCACAAGCACAACCAATATATTTTAAGTTGTTTTTTCTTGACCTTATTAAGGTATATAAATATATGATTATTAGAGGCATTAATCGATAGCTAATTAGAACTATTGAATAATTAGCAAACCAAGCGCCACCTCTCTATGGCAATTACTACGTAGGTTAGGATTATTATAGGCACCAAATATTGATATGGATTGGTATCAAATAAGTCTAGTTCTACCTAAATATGGTGTATATAAGTTTGACTTGAGAGCGGGGGTAAAAAATAAATATGGTTACTCGTATAAAATTTTTGACCATCGTATTTCTCTAATGAGCATGTTTAGATCTTAACATTTTATTTTTAACTTTTGTACAATATTAAAAGAAAAATATCTGCTAGATTGCCAAATTAGGATTTAATTCGGGTTCAGGAATTTTAAACTCTATTTAACGGAAATTTTGTTAACATGAACTTAATCGAAATTCCAAAAATTAATATCCATTGTTTGGAAATAAAGAATTCCTAATCTAAAAATTCTACAATTATATTTTTAAAAAAAAGATAGTGTTTGCAACGGTCCGGTCTTATCAGACTTTTCGGTCCTATGGGACGGTCCCGTCTAACAACACGGTCCCACGGTCCGACCGAAGACCGATTAAAGAATATAAAAGTTTACTATAAATTGCTTTATAGTTAATGTGTATGTACATGAACATATAAAATATGATTATTTAATGCCTAACACTTTATAATATCTAATTCATCGTTTACTTTTTATATTCTTCCGTTTCATTAAATTCAATATTCATAGTTTATTTTTATATTCTTCCGTTTCATTCAATTAAATTCAATCGCCTTCAAGTATTTTAATTTAGTAGGGTAGGTAGTATTATATTTTATTTTTAGAAATGGATATTGAAATCATAGAAGTTGATACTACTAGTAATATTGAAATGCCACACTCTTCAAGGGGTGAAAGAATGACTATTGATGAAAATCAAAAAAATCCATCAAATTCTTTAAAAGATGTTAAAGAATTATACAATTATTTAAAAAAAGAGACTGGTCATAAGATTTGTAAAATCTGTTTACAATCATTTTCAAATACATCAAGCACAAGTAAATTAAGCATATATACTATTAGATGGGAGCCAATATTAAAATCCCAATATAAACAAAATATTGTATTGGTATTGGGTCTAAAATATTGATATTGGTTTAAACATTATTTTCTATTTCTTGTATTGCTATTGGTTTATATTGTATTGGTTTAAATTCAAATAACTAATTAAAAGAATAGAAATAAATAATGATTATATATAAAACCTTTAATTTCTAGTTTTAAATAAACATGGGAAAAAAAATCATGAAGCATTACCATAAAAACAGGATTTTTAGAAATGCTAAATTATTACTTGCATTGTCTAATGTAATACAAAAAAATCAATTTCAAATTTTACTTTTAATACAGAATTATAAATATTAATATAATTATGTGCTGATTTAAAAGGAATAAAATCTAATAAATGATTATTTAATTTAAATTCATTATCAATATAATGAATTGTTATTATGCCCATAAAGGTATTTTATTTGGAGAGGACCAAATGTCCATTGTTAAGGAAAATTTAGATGTAATGTTAGAACTTACAGATTTTAAATTGATAAAAGAACTATGTTAATGTTTCATAATTTCTATTTTTAATCTTTTTCTAGAAAGTAATTTTAGTGAGGGGTTAGAATATGCTATTAAATTTTTAAAAGTGATATTCTCAACCATTGAAAAGGCTGTTATTTTGAATAAAAAAGAATTAAATGTTTTAAATTAGCTTTATTATTTATATTATTAACTAAAAATGATTTTATTGTGTTAATTTTTTTACTGCCTATTTATTTGTTCACATTTCCTATATAATGTTGGGCTTGGGTGGATGGATTTAAGATGCGTCCATAACCCCGAGGTTCTAAAATTGGGAAGAGATATTTTTTTTACATTTATTGCAAATAGCCCTTTTTTGTTATCAACAACTAGTATAAAATTCCCAGATTTTTGCTATATTTCATCTTTTATTAGATATTGATGATTCTTCTTGTTCATTATCGCTATTATTATTAGTATCAACAGCATTATCTATATTTATTAACTCTACTTGGTCTTCATTCATTATAATATCCTAAATGAAATGGATTAATAAGTTTATGTTTATGTAATGAAATTAAAAAAATATACCACGATAAAACCAAATAATTATATGTATTCATCTATTTTTAATATTGGTATTGGTTAAAATTGTATTTAAACAATATATCAAAACCAATATATTTATGTAATTGGTATTGGTATTGGTTGTAAAAACAATACCAATATTTAATTATATATTTGTTTATATTGGTATTGTAAACCAATATTATATTGGTATTGGTCCCACCCCTATATACTATGATTCACATATGTTATGAATAATTTTATCTTATTTTAGCTACTTTGAGACGACATATGTTTCTTAAACATAAAAATGTATCACAGGGAGAACAAAAATTATTAGTTCAGAAAGAAAGAAATTTTTCTTCAGATCATATATATAATAGCAGAATTACAAATGCTCAAAACAAAAAAATTAATAAATACATTGCGGAAATTATTATAACATCTACTATCCCCCTACATGCCCTTATAAATAATATTAAATTTTTGGAAATGATTGGATATATAAATCCTAATATTAAAGTGCACACATATAATACTTTTAAAAAGAATATTCTAAACAATTATCTAAATAAAAAAATTCATGTTATATCCATGATAGCAAAATTGCCAGGAAAACTGGCTATCACTACAGATTTATGGACATTTCAAAAACTTCCATATATATCTGTAAGTGGGCACTATATAGATAAATCATGGAAAATGAAAGAAATCATATTGTATATTAATTATGTGCCTTATCCGCACAAAGCTGAAAATATATATAAATGTCTTTCAGATTTAATTATTGAATATAATTTAAAGGAAAAAATTATCAGTTTAACAACTGATAATGCTGCAAATATGGTGAAAACTCAGAGACTCATGAAGACTTACATGAGTCCAAACCCATTTGCAGCATATGGCTGTATGGCACACGTATTAAACATAATTTGCCAAAATATTCTAAAAAACATTGATGAAGTTATCATTAAAGTGAGATTGATTACTACGAATATATCTCAAAGTCCATCATTGCTTCAAAAATATAGGTCATTACTTAGAGGTAATGAGATAGGACAGAAAATTCCCACTGATGTTGAAACTCGCTGGAATTCAACATATTTGATGTTGGTGAAGGTCCTTACAGTAAATTATCTATCTTTTTCTTTTTTTAATAGGATTATATATTTAGAATTTTGAGACAATAAGAACTTTGTGTTATTCAGAGTATGAAACCCTTGGCAGCATTGCCCTCACAAATAATGATAAAAATAAAATAGAGGAAGTAATTCCTTTATTAAAACCATTTTATGAAACCACCTTGGATTTATCTGGATCCTCCTATCCTACCATTGGTTGAATATCTTTTATCTAATATTTTTAAATGGTTTTTCTCTTATTTAGGCATATGTCTTATGCTAATGGAAAATATACAAATACATATTGCAAATATTTTTAATTCTAATTCCTCGCCCTCATTTATTGATGCAACTTTTGCAACGAAAGTCACTCAGAAAGCTAATCACTACATTCACAAATTTTTAAACATGGAGTCGTATATTGGTAGTCTATTAGACCCTAGAATCAAAAAAGTTTATTCATAATTCTTTATAATATTACAAAATTTCTTTTTATTTAGGATCACATGTATAATCTACTAAATACTCCTGAAAATTTTATCCAATTTAAGGAAGTATATGAAAAATATGCGAGCACTTTATCAAGTGGCATAAGGACAAACAAAGTATATAAAAATATTTATTTATTTATTGATAATTATTATTTAAGGAAATATCCCTGAGGGAGAGAATAGCCAGGGATAGGCTCATGGGAACTGGGTCATCAGAGGAGATAGCTCAGATAGAGGATATAACTGAAATTCAATGTTATTTATCTGATATTTTATGTCCTGTTAATTCCAATATACTAGATTGGTGGGAAGGGAATCAATATCGATTTCCAGTTCTATCAAAAATAGCAATGGACTATCTCCCCCAGCAGGCTACATCAGTAGCATGTGAAAGGATATTTTCTAAAGCTAATGATAAAATAACTAAAAAACGCAATAGAATGAATCCAAAGATGGTTCAATCTATGATGGCACTTGAATCATGGATAAAAAATGGAATCATTTTTGATTTTTTAGAAGATAATTAAATTATTTATATACAATTTATTTTATAACCAAATATATATATCAAAAAAATTAATTAAATATGTAAATCATATTCATATTGATATAATTTATATTAAATAAATTTGTATTTTAATATTCTTTTGATTAGGCATTTGTGTATAATATAATAAAAATGAATTGATGATATAATTGAAATATTAATAGGGTAGTTTAACTATTCATTTTTAATAAATTTAAATGCAGAATAAAACTTTTGTAGCTTTATAAAAAAAAAATTAAGTGGGACCGGACCGACTGGACCGGACCGACGGTCCCACGGTCCGGTCTCATTTGACTTAACGGTCCATCGGTCCGGTCCCATTTTAGAAAAAAAGACCGGACCGTTGCAAACACTAAAAAAAGATTAAAGGAAATTAATACATTTAAATTAATTCAATTTATTAGTCACAAATCAAATCACAATACACATATTATTATTATGTTTCTTATTTTAATTTTGAATGAATTTAGCGCCTAGCTGGCACCACCAATTTTTTGTATATTTTTTAAAATTATTATATTAGAAAATAAATAACCAATCCCTCCCCTTGATTCTTTCTCCCAAAATAAATCTATCTTTTTAAAAATAAATTTTGAGCTATTTTAAAAAGTTATAAAAAATTAAAATATTTTTTTATGTTATTTTTTTTATTAATATTGTTTTTTCTACAAATTTTAATTTAAGATATTTTTAGGAGAATTTTGCCTACAAATTAAATTTTTTATTTATGTCTACAAATTTTTATTAATTTTGTATTAGGGATAAAATAGACCCCACCTTTGAAGTTTAAGTAATTTTTAACCTTTCTAGTGAAGGGTTAAATCGAAATATAGTATTAAATGACGCAATTAAATATATTATTATCGAGAGGGAGCGTTTGGCTTGTTGCCTATTCAATAGGTTTTTTAAATTATCTAACGATTGATACCTTTAATAACCATATATTTATATACTTTAATAAGTTCAATAAGAAATATCAAAATATATGTGTCTGTGCTCGGGGTTCATGCCATAGCTAATTTAGTCGATTTTAGAGCCAAATGCCAGGTCTGGGTATTAAACAACCAACAATTAACAACACTAATATAAGTAATCAAGATTCATTAAGTTAATCTGTTGAGTTCACGACTCAAATTCATAACCCGAATCGCGACTCAAGTTCATAACTCGAGTCGCGACTTGAGTTCACGACTCAAGTTCAGAACTCGAGTTGTAAAAATGAGTTGGAGTTATAGCGACTTCGACTTGGAGCCGAAGTCGGGAGAACTCGATTATTTAACAACACTATCCTGAAGTATATTTTTTTAAAATCATATAAAATCAAATATTGGCCTTCGTCTAAATACGATTTTAGATGGTTTTGATACAATGATTTTTGGGTTGAAATAAAAGATTGAGATAATAAAGATACATTTTTCCCCCAAAAAAAAGATTGATAAATTCAGCTAGTGGTTTAATGATATCAAAAGTGGCACTATTCGCGGATATCCATTTGTTGTAAGTTATTAAGTTGTTAAACGGCTCGATTTTTAAAAAAGGCCATTCCAATATTTAAGCCAAAAAAATTATAAAAGTTTCCAAATTTCTTTAATAGATGATCAAGCTATTCTACTATCTGGGAGTAAAATCTCCAAACTTGCCTAATATTTTTGGCTAAAATATTGGGTTAGCCATTTTTAAAAATCGAGCCGTTTAACAACACTTATTAATTCGATGTCACAAGAACGGAACAATATTCCTATTTGTTCGCATAAATATTACGATCCTGGACAAATTTCACATTTGTCCAAATAACAGAATGGTTGAAACATATTATTTTTAGTTATATTTGATTCTATATTCATTAATTTAAAAATTAACTGCAAATACATATATTATGCCTTCCACCACATGCGAGTAGGGGAGACCGAGGTTAAGCGATTAACGAGGTAACAATGCTAACGCGAATAACTTCTTAACTTTTTAGCATAAAGACTTTTTAAATTTGGTGTGAAGATGTATTCTTATATCTAATTTTTTACCCATGTTCATCTTTTGAAAAAATTTTCTGGTTTGATATATTATGACACAAAACCGTTTTTTACCCATAATTATAAAAATCACTCTCTAGTTTTTTTACAAGATATATTAAGGCTCAGAATTTAACCTGCATACATTTTCCTTAAATCGGAAGTTTGTAGCTTAACTAGTTGTCACGAAATAATGATTTGTACAATATATATCATCTTTGGGTAAAGTTATTATTGGTAAAACGGTTAAAATGCATCTGATTTAAGCTGTAAAAAGATCATTTTTAAATATTATCTACACCATAAAAAGATATTTTTGAGCAAAAAGGAACATTAATAAATAGCTTCTGTGTTATTTGGAATAAAATTTTAAGAATAGTCGCAAAGAGGAAGATAAATGAAATGTACGATCCTAAAATGGGCACACTCAAAATGTGCTATTTTTAATATAATTTTTTTATATTCGGTATTGTACTGATTAGTTTATACTTAAAAGTGATGAATAGATGTCAAAATTGCAATATTATGTTCAATTAAGCAATATAATTATGTTCAATTTTGTTTTTTGTATGCTTTTGTCGAAATGCGATTTTTCTTGCCTGGCATGATTCGCCTTATTTCGTCACTACAATAAAATTCTTGGGTAATTTTAGCTGTATAAAGTTTTTCAGGCTTAGGGTGTTAAAAGAAAACCTTGTTCCGCTATCAGTTAATTTAGCTTGGCTTGCCATGTAATGTTGTTTTAAATTTTACCATAATTTTGGACTCTGTTCAATTTTCTGGTAATATCGTTATAATTTTATATTTGTTTTAGAAAGTGATACAGCATCTAGTTTTTAGAAGTATTTTTGGTCATTTTCAAAATTTTATATCAGAAAACGATATCACTAATTTGATTTTGTTATTTTTCAATATAATTATCTACCTTTTTTCATAGTATACCACCATCTATGACTATACCCTAACCATAACATTAAAATATAAAGCTAAGAAATAACAAATTTTAAAGATATTACCAAAAAATTAAACAGTGTCCAAAATTAAGATTGAATTTAATATAACATTATATGGAGAAGCTAAATTACTGATAGCGGAAAAGGGATTTCTTTTAACACCTAATCCCAAGACTCGATAGATTATTTACAATTAAAATTGTCCAAGAATTTTATTGTAGAGACGAAATAGGCCGAATTATGCCAGGGAAAAAAGATAGCATTTAAATTTCAACCAAAGACGGAGAAAAGAATCCCACACAAAAAAGATTAATTTTAGAAGTTTATGTATTTATTAAAAAAAATGAAGCCAGACTTTTAAAATTGTTTTTTTTAATTTATAAGCATTTGGTCATGAAATTGAAAACTTGCAGGTGGTAGCAGTATGCTTGCAGCTATCACAAAAATTATTAATGAACATAAGATCAGATTTAATCAATTTAACCAGAGGCAATGTTTTGCATTTTAAAACATAAATATATCTTACTCTTGATAATATGTAATCCGCCTCAACCATTCTGTTATCTGGACAAATGTGGGAATTGTATCAAAATATTTACGTGAACAAATATATTGTTTTGTTCTTGTGATATGGAATTTCTAACTTACAAACAGTGGATATCCGGGTCTTTTTGAAAAAATGGAATTTTTATTATCTCATTCTTTTATCTCAACCCAACAATCTTTGTCTCAAAAACCATTTGAAATCAAACTTAGACGAAGGTCAATATTTAATTTTATTTGTCTTCAAAAATTATAACTTTATAATTTAAGATGAAGTATAAAGTTATCATTGGAATAGGGTTCAATCTACTGTTCATCCTTTAGTCATTTATTATAAGGATAATTTTGCAAATATTTGTTGTCTTATTACGTAATGATTTCCGAATCTTTACAGCATAACACAATATAGAAGATTATTTTCAAAAAATATTAGTAAATTTTCTAACTAATACATTTTCTAATCCAAATAAAAAGATATATTCGGATAGATTGGCTGCACAGTATTTATTTGTATTCTATTTAAAATACATTATTTAGGCTAAACTTTTTAAGAAAGATGGCTATTTAAAACATTGGTAACCTTTCATATGATGATTATTCGTTTCCAATTTACAATATTTAAGCGAATTTTATCACCTTTCACACTATATTTATTAGATTCATATTTGAAATATGCGTTATTTAATACAAAAATATTTTTTATTAACTTATACTTTACATTATATTTAAACTAAATTAAATTTTTCTAATAAATGACCATTTAAGACATTGGTAGGTACACTATTTTAATAAGAAATAAATTTTAAAAAACCCCATCTTCATAATCATTAATCTTAGCCAATTAGTCGTAGCCAGGTCAAACCTAATAATACTTAGCAGATTCTTAAATTAAATGGAATTAGGCTTCGCCTATTTAGTCAGCCTATTATACAACACTAATTCTATGATACTAAAAACTTTTAAACCGGTTGAAAATAAATGTTAGAATTTTTTAAGTTTCTTCGTAACTTACCCTTATTTGACTTAATAGCTGACCTAAGGTGGCACTGGAGCTGACTAAATCAAGATAACTGATAACTAAAAACTCGCCTAGAGGTCAGAGGAAGTTTTTTTACTTAAACCTTGACCTGAGTTGTGGTTAAGCCGACTCGATTTAGGTATTCACCAACGCAACTTACTATGGAAAAAATGGCGTCTACAGCTGACTCCTATGTGCATGCATTTCAAATAACATTAATAAAATCAAAAATAGACTATGTTAATACCACTGTATTAAAAAAATTATATAAAATAATTTAATAAAATAAATAAATTTTTTAAAAAAGCGAATGAAATTTAAGAAAACTCATATCTAATTTTTTTTACTTTATTAACCACACCAAACCCGAGTCGTTGTATAGCTGCAACCTTATCTTCGGGCAAAGGAGGATCAAAAATGATTTTATTGGGATTGGCACGCAAATACATAGGTAAATATTCTTCCGTAATGTAAATAGAGAAATGTTATAATAATTAGCATTGTCTTGGTTAATAAAATAATAACTTTTAAAAAAATACTATCCCTCTTTATTCTATAAAATAAATAAAACTAATCATGGGGAAAATAATTAAAGAATAAAGAAACAAACAAGAAAACTTTTTAAAGATAAAAGATAAGCTTTTTTAAAAAAAATCGGGCCAGGCTCAAAAATAATTGTTTTGTACAAACCCGGGAAAAGCCGTTAAATAATATCAATCAATCAATCAGCCGGACAATCCATAAATAGATCGTTTAAATAGTCATCTATTGCTCGTATTTTCAATTTCCCTTTGAAACTATTTCCAAAATACAAACCAAAATCATTTCAAAAAATAAAAAAAATATAAATATTTTGGGAATTTTTTTTAAAAAAATTTTTAATCCCGGGGCCAGAAGGGTGGATTTTTGTTAAAAACATCCGGGTCCGGCCATTTAATAGGTACATCTAAAGGTCTGAGGTAAAACATAAAAAAAAACACTCCCACCACCTAGTAAATAAAAATTAATCAAAACTTGCATTTTTAAGAACAAATCCATTCGATGAATCATCGTTATCTTCTAGAGCTTCCTGTATATCCGAAGTATTCATGGTGACATTCTCCATCCCTTCAAAGATGGTATCCATACAAGGAGGTAAGGAAGCCTTCAACACGCCCAAAGGTAGAGCGCACACAATCAAATCACCCTTGATGGTAAATTTATTTTTGGTTAAATGTTCACCCATGCCAACAATCTCTGTCTCTTCGAAGGATTTATCGGTATTTGAAAGGATCTTGAAATCGGCCGTTTCGAGACCAACATTTTTGTGATTGTCCTTTCGAGATTTATTAAGGTTTGATAAGTATTTCGAGTTGAGATTAATTATTTCGCCCGCGTCCTGATATTCAATTTCAACACCTATAAAAAAATAAGCGAAAGGGGGGGGGGAATTTATAAGAAAAATAAATCTTAATTATTTTTTTGAGTAAAAAATTAAAACTAGTTAATTAGAAAAGTTTTGAGTTTGCGAAGTTATATGGGTAACTTATAAGCGTTTACTGTTCAGGCTCGGGCGTAAAATTTTTAATCAGGTGGGGCTGAGCTTGTTTGTAAAAAAATGTTTCTTTTTTTACAAAAATAAAATATTAGATTTTCTCTATGATAAGGATAAAGCAATTAACGATTTTTTTACTTCATTTAACTAAGTCAAAATGAGTTATTTTCTCAGTAAACACATTTGTGGCCATATTAAAAAAAATTTCAAATGGCTAGCTTCAATAAATTAGTTACGAATTTACTTCGCATTAAGGTTATTAAACGCAGCGTCTAAATGAGAGAGGAAAAATTGGATGTAACATAAGCCTGAGTTCCCCCTACTCACCTAAAAATATATTTCTATTTTCTGCCTCCAGGCCCCTACCCCTTTCAAAGATATAGGAGTATATGGCACTACCCTTCCCCTCAATTCATACAGATATTGATTAAATGTATGTGTTCAAATTTCATAAGTAAAATTAGTTAACTAATTTCAGAAAACTAAATTTCACAATCATATGTTTTTCTTCACTATTTTAAATCAATGATGTCAAGACATAAAATTTATAATAGAACCCAAAAAAGATAAAATATAAGGTAGATACTACCCGAAATGTGATAGGTTAAAATATAATTTAACAGATTAAAATCATTATCTTCATAAATATTTTTCTATTTTAAAGCCAAAGGAATTTTTTCCCAATAAGACAATATTACTCAAGCACCAAAATTAAAAAATCATCGGAGAGTGCGGTATCCAGGCCTCATATCTATAGTGAGAAGATCTTAGATCCGTTAATAGAAGGTGCTCCAAAATATTCAAATTGTCAGGAAAATGAATTCGCATTAACAATATAAATCGATTAGAAATGGGAATAAACCTCTACAAATTCAGCAAGCCACCAAGGTTATCAACAAATGTGAATTTCATTTAAAATGCTTTGACAAACTAATTAAATAGTTCATTAAGTTCGTAACTAATTTAAAAAAGATGTCCTGACAAGATATAATTTAATAAAAATAACATTAATTTTATTTAGCGTAGTAAAAATTATATAAATTTTATTTGGGGATTTTCTTCAAGAAAAATCAAAAGGGACACTACTTATTTATGTAATGTTTAAAAATAATAGCATGTAAAACCCCTATTACCAACTAAATTAAGCCTTTTTTAATTTGTGTTTTTTTCTTTTTCAAATAATATATTTAAGGAGGATAAATTATTTTGTAATCTTAAATTATTACTATAGTTTGAAAAGGAATACATGTATATACGATATTTTTTTCCTTGCATAGAAGAAAAAAATTCATTATTAAAAACTATTTTATTTTTTATCCAAAATTTTCATAATTCTTCGAAAATTAATAGTAGCTTATTTTCTATCATGTCTTTGCATAGAAATAATAAGAATTGGCCCTGGGCATAATAATTGTTTACAGCTTTCTTGCTACATATAGAAAAAATAGGCCAGTCAGGGATACAAGGGTGAATGTATATTTTTTAATAAATATTTTGGTAAAAATTGATCTCTTTTAAAAAATAATAAAACAATTTGAATTTTAAATTAGATATATAAAAAAGAGAGAGTTTAAAAAGTTCAAATATAAGTTAGAGTAAAAATTAAAAGGTTAATTAGACATAGGATTTTATTTTAAAGATTATGATATTTGGGTTAGGGTTAACTTATATTAAAAAAAGGTTAAATAAAAATATAGTAATGCTATAATGCGGGCGAAGATCTGATTTGAAAACATTGAATTTTGATAAGAATTTTAACATTTCAATAAGTGTAGATGGTAATATCTATTTTTTTTATAAATAATTAAATACTCTCCATTTAAAAATGTTATCCTCCGAATAATTCTTTTAAAAAATTCTACTTTTGAGATATTCGAATATTTAATTAAACGTAAAAATATTTAAGTTTTTAATGTTTTCGTTTTGTAAATGTTATATGGTTAATAACATTTTCGAGAATTTTTTCTTAATAAAAGAGCTTAAATATCTTTTTCTTCTGAAAAACAGGAAGTAGAACAGTAATCAAATTGAATGCGATACGTAAAATATCGCGTAAAACTACATTATATACTTGATTGATTTTAAGAAAAAGTTCTTAAAACATAATATATATCTCTGATATAATGATTTTTTTTAAAATATACCATCGAGATCATATGATATTTTGGTTACGGCCTTTTTGTACTTGATGTCCAATCCTTTAGCCAAAGAATGAGGTATAGAAGCGAACCCTTTTTCAACTTTTTGAAAATAATGTTAAATACTGATTATTGCAATTGAAGAATATGAAATATAAAATGTCCAAAAAATAATCATCATGGAAGATATAGAGAAGCAAAAGGTTTTATCATCCTTTAAAAAAAATATGTATTTAACCCATTTTATATAATTTTTCAGCATCGTACGATAATTCTTCAATTGATTTTTCAGACTTGGTAGTTTCAAATGTTTTTACGGATAAATTAGACATTTCCGCCGATTTCTGGTATTCTATATTCGCTAAATGCCAATCCAAAATATTTCGGTCTCGGAAGGAAAAGTAAAAATCGCTAATTCGTTTTTTAAAAAAAATAATTACACACAATACACAAACCGCCACTTAATTATTTATAGGGTATCATGATTGATTTTATTCAAAAACATAATTTGTCTGTCATATGTCAATTAGGCAACTCAAAATGTTATTTATTCTAATGATAATATACATTTGTTCGTTTCTTTCTTTCTTTCTTTCCTTCTTAGTGAAAAGTTTGATGTAGTGAAACAAGTCTGAGGATATATAAAGGGTAATATTTATTTGTATCGGATAAAAAGAGCCTGTGTCAAGTGAAGCAAACTCATTTTAATCAAGGAGATATAGTCTTTCAGTCACAGCGCTCTTTTTTCCATTCATTTTTTCAGTAACCATGTTTCTTTTTTAGATATATATTATTCCAATTGTTTTTTGATATTCTTTAGGGCCACTCACCTAAAAACAACTTTAAACAGGTTATTATTTTCTTTCCGACTAAGCATTGAGTTTCTTATATTCGTTCCTAACTAAAGGGGTTTCCTTAAATATGCTTTTGATAATAAAGATATAATTTGTATATTTTTGTGAATATTTGGAGATTTTATATATTAAGATATGTTTTTTAAACATGTTTTATTTTTTTTTAAATGCCTAACTAATTAAAAAATAAGGGAACTAAATTTTATGATCTTTGATCAAAAATAAAATAGCGCGTTTATTTGTTTTTTCTGATGATTATTTTCCAGAGGTTTAATTCCCGGACAACAAATCAAATATGTTCTCATAATGTTTACCAAATGGCTGTATTACTTTTTAAATCGTCCTCCTGTAAAAAGACGTCGGTTCATTTTTTAATCGCAGCTTTTTCCAACGTAGTAATTTAAATTGCTACCTCCTTCTTAACGCTGCGGGTAGGGCTAATTTTATTTTAATATCTGCTAATTTGCAGGAAAAAAACACATAAGATGTGATCAAAATATCTTACGACTAAAAAAGCTGCGAGAAAAAAAACAGCCTCTAAAGTCGAACGAAATAAAACACTTTAATAATAAGATGACGAAGCTATGGGGGAAAAAAGTCAGGAATTTGATGAATAGTAAAATTTTTAAAATTTAAACGCTATGATTAATTATAACATAATAAGAATATATTCATAAAAATAAAAGTTTTAAGTATGTACCTTGGACTAAATTTGTCCATGTATTCTAATTTTGATTGCAAAAATGAATGCAATTCCGTTTTATTTTGATACCGCTTGAAATTTTATTTTTTGATTAATGCGAGATGTATTTATTTAAGAATTATAGTAGTAATAATACCAACAAATCATAAACAAATCAAACCGAATCTAAGTCGTGGATAGTATATTCCCCATCTTGAATGCATTTTAAATCTTCCCGTAATTCCGATAACTGAATGAATTGAGACGGGGGGGGGGGGGGGAGAGAAAAATTATAAAGATGTTTTTTATATATTTTATTTTGAAATGTAATAAATGATAATAGTTGTGATTAGGACTGTGCCGATATGTTTTAAACAATATTGAATCAGGCCAATATACCGATATTTTCATTGTTTTGGGTTAAAATATAATTAAATAATATTTTATATTTTATATATGTTTTTACAATAATATATGGAACCCAAAATTCAATTTATTTGCAATGTTTTTAAAAAAACCTTAAAATAATATCTGGCATAATGTGTAAAAATATATATATATATGAACCTTTTAATGCAAATGCAATAAAGGTTTTTTTATTTAATAGTTTAATACTGTTTTAAAACAATGTAATTGATTTAAGTAATATCATGTATTTTTTTTAAATATAAAATTTTCATTATAATTATCAGACCTGCAGGGGTGTTATTTGCAGCACGGCCCGGCCTAGATTTTAAAAACAAAATATTTCGGTCAGGATGTGTACATTTTTTTCTATGGCCTTGGTTTAAAAAAAATACATACTTATTCGGGCATTTTAAGGATTTTCAGCGAATATGGAATCCATTTATAATTATTTCCCAAATTATTTTATCTCTCCATTTGTCTCAAAAACAGTGAGTCTTAATTAATAAAGATCAACTCAACGGTCAGCGGTCTATACTGAAGCCGGTCAACGGTCAGCAGTCTTATACTGAAGCCGGTCAGATCTTATTTGAGGACCACAGTCCGGGCGGGTCTTTTATTAATAATTCAAGTTTGCTTTACTATGCAATTAATATTTTTTTAAAAATTTGTATATTTTATTTTTATGTTATTTCTTCTAGAAGCGTTATTTTAACTTTTATGATTTTTTTGTTAATTTTGAGATGAGATATGAAGACCTTCGGTTTGCCACAAGAAACATTTAACTTATAGTCTCAATAAGCAAGAATTAAATTAGGCAAAAACAAAAATATTTTTAAAATAACAAAAAAAATAAAAAAATCAAGATCGGTCCTGGACGGTCCTGGGCAGAGGATGGCGAGCATCGGTCTTGGACCGGGGTTGGAGAGATTTTAATCAACACACTTTCAAGTAGACTGGTCCATAATTCCCTTATTTCCTGTTCCTCTTATAATTTAATAATTTTTTTTTATATATGTATCAGTCATTTCAAGCTCTCTTCTGGCAACACACGTAATTGCCTGAATTTAGGATAGAGAAAAAGGAAGATAAAATGATACTTATCTAAAAAAAATTAAAGAAGTGTCTTGTATTTTTAAATATTGAGTTTATCTTTGTTGCTTTTAATTTGATTGACTATCACCTCAAATAATGATTAGTTGTCAATGAATTTGAATAATTTCTTACTATATATATTTTCTATAGATCGAAAAAATGGATATGATAAGTGAATGAATGTGATATATTGTTCTGATAAACAATTTTCAAATATATTTATGGGGATTTAAAATATTCATCCTGTGAGTACATTTAAAATTAAATACGACCCGGCCTGTGGGTCTCTGATAATTATTGAAGAAATTATTAGAAAAATGAGCTCATATTAATTTCTAATATTCATTTTAAACTTTCTATTTGCCATAAGATGGTGACTCATATTTAAAAATTCATTATTATTATGTTAATTATCAAAACCAATTTCGTTTTTAATTAAAAACAAATTATTTAACATTGGAAAAAGGTTTAAAAAACAGATTATTGTAACTTTGATCCCCCATTATTTCCGATAATTTATTTGCCAGTAAGATAAAATTTCGTTTTTAATACTAGAACATGTATTATGTTCCTACAAATTTTTATAGAGATTTAAAGAGGTAGGCGAAAATCCTATTTTTCTTGCACATTTGACATGGAATGACCAATGTGCGAGCAACAGTTTTTTAGCCAACAACAAAACAGATATTGTTTTTAGCTGATACCAAAATTGATAACAGTTTTTATAGCTAACACCAACCATGATATCATAAATTTATAAATGTTCATTTTTAGAGAATTGGCCATTTTATTGGTTAGATATCTATAAATGTTAAATATTAAAAAATACTTCGTCTATACAGGCGATCAGCTGATTTTGATATAATATTTTTTCGTGCAAGTATACGAGTTGCCTCTCCTTCACACACTTTTCCTTGCAGCTGTTATTTAAAGAAAGAAAGAAGAGTACAATAATTATATACGAATAATTTATAAAGATTTTTTTCTGAAATCAAAAAAATGCCACTTTGAGATAGTCATGTGATTGAGAATGTTCTCATTATTTAAATATCTCAAAATGGTTACGAAAATTTTTTTTAATAAAATATAAATTACAAAAAAAAATGAAAAACAACATTTGCATAAAACCTCCGAAAAAATTTTAACACCTTATTAATAATTCCACTGCATCTCCCAAAGATATTTCATCAGAAGACAAATCCTTTGGACCTTCCGAGTTCTTAACTTGATCATCATCTGATTGCTCTTGAGTTATACGGGACACAAGTCCTAATAAATGTTTAAGTTCTTGCTCAATTAATTCACATTTATCTCTGGATACCTTGTGAGTTATAAATGTTTATACAAGTAATGAGTCATTTAAAAATAAAAATGTTAATTTTCAACTTTAATTATGTTGTACTACAATAATAGTAGACTACATGAGTGATTGGCAACAAGAACAATGCCTGAGAAAGAGAACTTAAATGTTGATGGGTGAAATAAATCAAAAATTAATGGATTGGCCTAATAGACATGAAGAAGTGAAGTTAAAAATGGGAAGCAGCTGAAAATGTACGGATTAAATAAAATATAGTTTGAAGAGGGAAAAAGTGTGGGACGTCATAATCAACTAAAGTCGATAATCGAAGAAAAGAGAATAAATCTAGAATAATAAATTTCAAAATTATATATAATGGTAAATAAAGCTGGGTAAGTTATAACTAGGGTAAAATATCCTTAGAGCTATAAAACAATGCAAGAAATGTTATACATAATCGCATTATTAAATATGGAAATGAGTTATAACTGGGAACTGGAGCAATATGGAGCAAAAATTTAATAAAACATATATTTAAAGTTGATGCTCAATTATGGAATGGAGGCCAAGAAAGATTGAGCAATGGGTGGGCTTCTAAAAATATAAAAACATTCTACCCACCAAGGCTAAGTAAAAAGCCTTAGCTTTACAACCTTTATCAAAAAAAGCAATTGGCCAATCATGAATTGATTTGGCATGGTGACATTAGGCCAATTTTATAATCACCTTTAAATTTCTTCCTTCATAAATTGTACATTTGGGATCAATATCTATTAAACTTACTCCAATCTGCTTGCAAATAATTGACAAAGGATTCTCTATATAAAATAAATTATGTGTATAATTTTATTAAAAAGGGAAACATCAATAAAATTTAATAGATTACAAAGGTAAGGTTTATAATTTAATTGCTTTACTCATATGATGAGGATAAAAATTGCATTATGTACATAGATTAATTAAGTCCCATAATGAATATAATCAGTAGCATCATTGGGGAGAGGAGCTGAAATTTTATTTTAGCATTTTTAAAATATTAGCTAAAAAAAGTTTGAAAATAATTTTTTTTAAAATTGCTTAAGCCCCTTGAGATTGTAAAAGCTAGTGACACCCCTTAATATAACCAGTAATTTAATGTTACCATTTGTTCCATAAGTATAAAAGTTATCACATCCTAAATCAACACAAAAATTTCTATGATTATATGTGCATATCCTTCCTCCAACTCTATCCCTAGCCTCCAAAAGAGTAATTTTATCAAATCCCAATTCTTTTAAAGTCTGTGCTGCCATTAAGCCAGCTAAGCCTGCACCAATCACAATTACTGTTGGATATTTTATTCTTTGGACTCTGCAATCATTAGGATTTGGTACAATACTTTCATTATCAATATGATTTGAAAATAAACTCTCCTTTGTATGATAACCATCAAATATTATTTCACAAAAATCATTGTCATTGATATTTAGATCACTTTGGTTAACACTTTCTGAGCTTTTAACATAATCTATTGTGTTGTAATCAACTAAAGAGTTAGGCTCCAGCATGGAAATTTTGGTTGTAGGAGGTGATTGATATTTTCCTTTAATAACTAGCAATAAAAGAATAAGTTAATAATAAAATTTTTAATAACAAAATATAGAAATGGAAATTTCATATATTAAAAATATTCATATATTGAATATACTCTCAATTGAATCATTTTCTGCATTTTCACTTAATGTACTTTCTTCATCTTCATCTTGAAGGACTCCATAATTGATAAAACAAAAATGTTTTAAAAAATTGTGAATATTTGATACTAATTGCCATTCATTTTTATGGTATGGATATAACAATGAATAAAGTCGCCTTAATGTTAATCTTATATGAGAATCTTTTAGCCATAATTCAATCTATTTTATATAAAAAAAATAATGAAAACAACAAAAACTATTACCAATTTATTTCTGAGTTTTAAATAATTAGCAATTTCTTTATGGCGCTTTGTACAATCAGAAAATATGGATCTCTCCAAGTTAGAAAGTTTGAATTTAGGTAAATCACAACCAATCTCGTTGTATTCATCTATCATTATCTTAAAACTAAATTTAAAAAATAAGGCCAATCAAAATAAAACTCTATTTAATCGAAAATAAAATGATTAGTATATGTTAATATTTTTGAGTTATATTATTTATTTCGGGGTTTTTTTTTCTGAAGCTAGCCAGCAAACTGTTATCAAAGATATGAAGAGTACTAAGCAAGCGCATCAAGGATAATGGGGGAGGAGGAACTTTTAGGTGGTGTCCTTCGCCTATTGTAAAGTTTTGCAGAGTTGAAAAATATCTGAAGGTTTTTTGAAGATATTTTTCTCAAAATATTTTGAGCAAAAAATTTTGAAGATCACAATCACAAACGAAGATTTTTTTGAAGTAAGTTATAATCCTTTTTAAAAATTTGAAATTTTATTTTTGAAACATATGCCTAAAAATCTTTTATAAAAAAATATTATTATAAAAATCTTCAGAGATTAAAGGATTTTTTATTTAGAAGTGCATTTTAAAACTCTAAATTTGGGTCCCTCTTTGAAAGCCTTTGGCAAGATCAGATAAAAAAGGTTAATTTGGTTTTTCCCTTTTTAATTTTTCTTCCAAATTTCTATTATTGTTATTATTTTCAAAAATAACTTACTTATTTTTTTACATTTTTTATAATTAAAGCCATATTGTATTAGCTTATTGTAGAGAAATAAAATTTTATAGTGTCAGAATTTTTTATTATCAGCTATATAGCTCTTTTTATTATAATGAAAATGTTGATCGATGTTATTTTATTATTTATTTTGGCAATTGATTTTTTTATACATCAATTTGTATTAGTTATTTTTTTTATTATTGTTTAAAAAAAGATATATAAAGAGAAATTGTTTTTGTTGAAAAAGATAAAAAATGTAATTTATCATATAATAAAATATAAATTATGATTAAAAATTAAATGATAATGATTAAAAATAAAATGATAATCAATAAAAAATGTGAAATAATTATCAAATATTAAATGTGGATATTAATACAATTCCAACATGGAGTACGTCTGAACTCTGCGTAAGTATTATCTCAAAATTTGATCTTGATTTTGCAATGTACATTTATTCTATTTTACGCTTTTATCGATTATAATGCTCTTATGATGGATGCTTTGAACAATTCCACATATATGACTGAATTCGTCAAGCTAGATTTCCCTAAATTTAGTAGCGATGACAGCGCCTACATAGAAAAATTGCAGAATTTCTTCGACACCAGCAAGATTTCCAAAGGAGAAAAGGCCGCTATATTTCTCCGAAGTCTTCCAGATGACGAATTCAATAACATTGGGGCAATTTGCACTATGGCAGACTTCCAGGACCAATCGCCCTGCTTGGCAAATTCAAGCTACAACATCCATCGAAGACTAAGAACGCTGATGAACTATCATTATTTTATGCTGCAACTCAAGGCAAGGATGAGGCGTTCTCGGCTTGGGTCACAAGCGTAGCACGACACAATAAAGAATGTAAATTTAATGGCATTCAGAGAATTATTGAGAAAGTGAGAGTATCTTCGAAATCCAAAGATGTTAGGAAAGCGGTCAAGAGCTCTATAACTATAGAAGACATTTACAATCTAGGTCTAGAAGAAGACACCGCGGACAAGTGGCATCTAGGGCGAGATGAAATTGTTTCATTTGAATGAATCACCTGTTGTACAAGAGGTTAATCACATGGACAGAGTCAAAAATAGTTACGTAACAACAAAACCCATTCAGGACTCTCATGCACATGGTGAATCTCTCATCAAGCAACCCCAGTTCATCAATGACAATTGCCCGGACAACATTTCGAAGAACGTTACGATATACGCTACGACAACGACTGCGACAAACGATTCAACAGATGGCACAGCAAATTCCACGACAATTGTTTTGATCAAAGCTATGATAATTGTCACTATAACCGCAACCGTTTTGATAATCGCAACGATAACTACTGCGATGATCGATACAACAATAGCGGGTACAACGTCCATGGCTATCGCCACGACTATCATTGTGACCATCATCAAAGCCCTGATCGACTGGATGACTGCTATAGAGGTGATAACCGTACCAACTATTCCCGTCGTTATCAGCACAGACACAACCCTCAAAATATTAATGGTTTTCCGAAATATTCGTCGAGCCAACCAGTACAAAAATGACAATAACACTTACAATAGATCTTCTGATCACAAATATCGCGATTGTCAATTGAATACGAACCATGCTATGAACATTGAAGTAATCGATGATGACGACGACTTAAACACAGACCTCAAAAAATATAATCTTCAGAATTTTGAAGTGTACAATATGGGGGTCAAGGATGCCACATATGACACGTACAACGTAATGGTTGACACCGGAACGAGGTACACTATACTTTCAAAGCTGACAGCTAAGACTGTAGGCATAACCGCGATACGTAAGACGGACATGAGACTCACTGGTTATGACGGTAGCGCTATCAAGATATTAGGTCTTGCCAATGTGAACGTTAAGTATGAAGGATACTCACATAAACTGGAGGTCATTGTAGTGGATTGTGATAAGATCCCCCTGCTAGAACGTATGTGGCTCCACACCTTCAACAACATTTAAAAAACGTTCTTAGTGTGTAATGTAGAGAATGATCTCGAGAAGATAATCTCAACAACAAAAAAAGACCTCGAATCAACTTACTCCTACAAACCCAAAATGGTCAGACAAGATAAAGTTCACTTGAAGCCCGATACTGTGCCTGATATACTTCAAGGAGAATTCCGTGCCCCAAGATCCATGCAACGACTCAGAAATTGGATTGCTGGCTGAAGCACGACAAAATAAACCTTACTCGAATGGAATCTAGATGTCCGATGCCATGCACAAGCGATCCGGTTTGGAAATTAGCTAGGGGTTGTCTTTACTTTACCAAGCCATCGTTTGCTTTAAAAAGAAGACTGCACCTTGAACATGGGTGGCGTATTGCTTTGTAATCATGAATGTTAATTACGTTACCACTTAACTTATCCAAGGAAATCATAAGCCGAATTTCTTTGGAGGGTGGTAGGTTGAATATGTTGAGCGATATTATATTTTTATTTATATTGGCAATTGATTTATTTTTTTATATATCAATTTGTATTTAAATTTAATCGGTGAAAATTTTATATTAACATTTTTTTTATATATCAATTTGTATTAGTTATTTTTTTTATTAATGTTTAAAAAAAAGATATTCTAAGAGAAATTGTTTTTGTTGAAAAAGATAAAAAATGTAATTTATCTTTGAAAATAAAAATGTAATTTATCATATAATAAAATTTAAATTATTGTGAAATAATTATTAAATAATAAATGTGGATATTAATACAATTCCAACAATTATTTTGAAAGATCTAATCTTAACGGAATAGTAGTAGGCACATATATAGAGTATTAACTGTGTTGCTAACAGTGGCGTCACTAGGGGCTCGAGCCCCATGAAAAATTTGAATATCCCCCTAAAGTAAAAAAAAATTTTAATGGAATCTTAACCCCTTGAACTAAAAATAAATTTTTTTGATTGCCCACTGAACGAACGAATTCTTTTATAATTCTATTAAGTAATATATAAATTTTATTTTATTATTTAAAAATTAATAAGACTGTCTAAATATTTGTTAAATGAATGCTTTTGAATATTTGATTAGATTAATACATATAAATTATATTTTCACTATGTCAGCTTGCAATCAAATTTTGTGTTAAAAATAGAATATCAATACTCACTAAATATTAATTTAGCATTAACAGTTGAAGCTTAATTGACTATTATTTATTTAAATTATTATATAATCCTAATTAAATAAATATAATCATTTATTATTGAAAACTTACAAATTTAATTTTAGCCGAGTTCAAAATGACTAATCAATAAATTTTATTATCATACCTATTCCTAAAAAATTTTTTAAGGTCCAAATAAGTATAAGTGATTTCTTTATAAAAAGTAAGTAAGTAGACATAGCGTTTATAATCCTCTATTATATATCGTTGATTATAAAATATTAGATAAAATGCCACTTTTATAGACGTATTTGACAGTTATATAATATATTACAATTAATATTATAATAATTTTACTAATAAATGCTTTTGATAATGAAGGGAGGGCCTCCTTTGATTGTAAGATTTTGATCGTAAAATGATTCATATGGTCCATTTTCGGTCAAAATGGACGATTTTTTCATTCATATGAATTTAAATGCACGTAATTGTTCTATTATGCAGGTAATTATTCTATTGTGCATTTATTTAATATTAATTATTCTTATGCATTTATTTAATATATTAGATAATTCCAAGCAATTTTTTATCAAATCCAAGCAAGAAATCTTTAATATCATCTACATTTTTTATCCAGGTTCAATCAAGCAAATCTTATATCAGATGATATGCAATTCATGAATATATCAAACATTGTTTTTAATTATATTTTATATTAGGAGTATTTTATGTATTAATGTATTATATATGTTAAAGCTATACCTATTAATAAAATTTAAATAGCAAATTTGATAAACAATTTCTTAGTATAACTGAAATTTATAAATATGATTACTTAAGATTAATTTTAATAATTTAGAATATTTCACTTATGCATTTTCTCAATATCACTTATGCTATTTCTTAATATAAAAGAAATCACTTATGCAATTTCTTAATATAACTTATAAATAAAATTAATTGAGTTTTAGGATTTG